TAACTTTTGTGTTGAATATTATTTTGCTTACAGACTTGTTCAAGTCTAGAATCTGTGTAATTAGCATGGTGTGACGTGTAGTCTTTGTGTCTCCTATTGGGGATGGTCGGGTAGCCTAGTGGTTAAAGCGTTCGCTCGTCACGCCGAAGACCCGGGTTTGATTCCCGACATGGGTACAATGTGTGAAGCCCATTTCTGGTGTCCCCCGCCGTGATATTGCTGGGATATTGCTAAAAGCGGCGTAAAACCATACTCAGTCAGTCAGTCAGTCAGTGTCTCCTATTGTGTAGCAAATTGTTTCCTGGGAAATATTCATGGCTTACAAATTGTATGAATTTGGTACTAAATAAAGTGCCAACTCTGGTGATTACTTAACTGTTTTTAGTTTATTTTTGTGTTGCCTGTGTGAAATGCGCGAGAGTGAAGAAAAAGACTGTGTATTTTCCGTTGGAGTAAATGTCTTGAAGCGAGCGCCCCGTGGCGCTAAATAATGAGGTTAAGTAGTGCAGTACCAATTATTATCAGATATACATTTCTTTCTCAATGAACAAGTAACACACACCACATGAAAGGAAAAAGGACATCTTTATTGTAGTATATTTCATATTTTTATTTATCCATAAATGAGAAAGTTATGAGCAAGTGAAAACGGGCCATTTTTGAGAATTTCTATGGATTCCACTTAGCCTGCAGGTCGGCTACTGGTACCTATTACAGTGGTTTGGCAGCTCAATGTCAAAATGTATGCAAGCATCTGTGTATGGTATAAATGAATTATGATATGAAATAACAATCGTCCATATCATTATAAACCATTGTTAGTCAAAATAGTCTTGACACCAGTGAGGAAGATCTACCGAGTGAAGACGATCAGTCTGATGTCAACACGGAAAGACTAGGGAACACAATCTGGTGTTAAATGCTATCCTGACATTTCTAAATAAAATGGATGTTTATCAATAAAAAATACTGTAAATTTTGAAATTAATGCGTCTCCAAATTAATATGACTGCTGACCCCTAGCCAAAAATGAGACTCAAAATCAATGCAACATTATTTTTTTTGTTAAAGTGGTTGGTTAGGTAAAAAAAATACATGACCAGTTTAACTGTTAAAGCAAAAACATTCTGGAAACAATAAGCAACAGTATCAGTTTGTATTCTCTACACCAGTGAAGATCCCAGTTGGAACTGGTCTTCAGTGACCTACTATGCTTGTCGTAAGCATCTTCCCAAGATGTTAAGTGGGAGTTAAGTGATTTTAAAAGTCCAGTTTTACCCTTGCCGAACTAGGCTGGTATTATGGAGTTAGATTATGGCTGGACTTACGAGTCTATGCATAGTCTAATCAAAATCACGCAAAGAAATCGAAATCAGGTTCGTAAACTGTCGAGCAGATATCGGTCGTTTGCAGGATTTGCAAAGCATGTGCACCGCCAACTCGTTGACAACAGATATTTTCTAAATCTTTTCATGTTTTTAATCAAGGTGCTTACGGGATTTTATGCACTTCGCAATGTAAGACTCATTTTATCACAATATAGGTCTTGATTATCGATCAGATTGTCTTGTCTGGGTGCCGCCATTTTGTTTGAAAAAAATGCAATTGATACGAGAGGTGTAATCTGATTGGTTCATAGGAGAGGCTTAGAAGGGACATAACTGGTAATAGCCACTGGTGGCGCTACGACCGAGCCCAGGAATTCCAGCCTAGTTCGCAAGGGTGGAAACTGGACTTTTAAAGTCAGTGAACTCTCTTGCCTAGGGAAGATGGTCGTAAGAGGCAATAAAGGGGTCGGGTGGTTGGGCGCGCTGACTTGGTTGATGCGTGTCATCATATCCCAGTTGTGTAGGTCAATGCTCTGATGTCAATCACTCGATTATGTACAGATCACCGTCATATAGCTGGAATATTGCAGAGTGCGACATTAAACAACAATATTTCTGTTCAGTGACAATGTAATACAATGGGTCTATGCCTGTGATACTATTATTTCTGTTGAATGTGAAATGTTAAAAGTGAAATCTAGGGTCAGCATAGAAGTAATGATAAATCAAATGTCTTTGTACGTGTAGTATGTGACTGCTGTGTGTATCAACAGGAAGTGTTGTAGTGATCATGGTGATGTTCAAGTAGTGTGATGAAACAAGCAGTTCCTTGATGGCTGACATGTGACGACAGTCTCACTGAGTGTGTGATTCCTGGTACAGTTGGAGGATTTACAGAACTATGGCAGGATCAAGATGAACAATTTGTTATTGGTATCACTGATGAAAACATGATGATTTGGAAAAGTGTGAATTGTTTGAAAAGCATTACTTAGAAGTTGATGGATGACAAAAGTTGACACAATTTATGGATAACAACTTCTTTATTGACTGTAAAGGTGACGTTTCGGTATAGATCCTTATACCATTGTCAAACAAGGCTTGAAGTGTGTATCTTGGGTGTAGCATATTGCCGCTGTAGTTCAGGATAATCTGGTCTTCTGTCATTTGTAACTAAATGGTGAGTGGATTGTTCCCCATACTGGCAGTGTTATATTTCCCAGGTTATTAGATTTTATTATTAGATGTGCTGAATGATACACGATGCTGCTGCTGCTGATGATGATGATCATGTTCGTAATGTGCTAGATTCCACACATCGGTGTGTTCAAAGTGCTACACCGTTATTACCCCATCACTGGATCAGTGTGCTCTTGAAGCCCTAGAAACTCTCAAGGAGTCAAGCTTGCACTCAGTCACCCATCCACTTGCTTCCTGCAACCTATGCTGATTAACCTCGCCTGTTCTGAGATCTGGAACCACGTGCCACATGCCACAGTGTAGGATGCTAAACAGAAACCCCTGTGCACTTATATCATGTACCATATTTCCTCTATTAGATGCCCAGGCATTTATTAATATTGTGCAAGCTGTTTACACGTCTTTTATTCTGTTTATTGCTGGCACTGGTCCAACTGACTACCATACAGTATCCCAATATTTACAGTCATGCACAGGGTACATACACTTAAAATAGGAAACTGTTATCCTGATACATGGCATCTTAGTAGAGGCCCGGCCCATAGTTTTTTGGACAGTGTATGATTTAGAGGTTGGTGTGTACTGGAGACCCAGTGTCTAATAGAGACAATACAGTACCTTTTGTAGTATCTTATACCATGTATGTAATGCATATCATGTATATATATAGTAATATCTTATACCATGAACAAGGGCAATACCATGTATATCACACATGTCATGCATATATAGTAATATCTTATACCATGAACAAGGGCATTACCATGTATATCACACATGTCATGCATATATAGTAATATCTTATACCATGAACAAGGGCATTACCATGTATATCACACGTCATGCATATATATAGTAATATCTTATACCATGAACAAGGGCGATACCATGTATGTCACACATGTCATGTATGTATAATAATATCCTATTTCAAATATATATTATGCGCCCTTCATGGTTTATTCTCCCTGCAGTGTTTTATTGTACGATAAACAACGACCATGAGTCGTTATTTTTTATATGGGATATAAACATTATGTACAGCCTATTTAAGGATGTTGAAAAAATGTTTTAAAAATATTTACCCAAATTTTAATAATTGTGACTCCCTCAATAGAATCCGACCTAAAATATGTCGGACAAGCCCATTTTACAAACAGGTGGATTGTTTTGTATTTCTCGCATATTTACACAATCCTCAAGTCAATTATCTGTACCTTTTCTCCCAATACCGATTGTCATATCTTGCCCACTTTCGGATTGTTTGGCCACTGAGTTTATCTGCGTAGCCCAGCTACATCTATGGGGAATAACTCACTAGACACTACCCTCTCAAAAATAACGTCATCCAATAAATGACATCAAGTTGTGAGTGCATATTCGAATCTCCAGAAATGACGTCGCGATAGAACAATGTTTTATTGTGAAATAAACCATGCTTCGCTTTTCATTGTCCTTTGCGGTTTATCGCGTTGCTGTGTTATATATCGTAATAACTAATACTATGTATAGTGACAGATGGAATTTGATTAACTGTAAGTATTCCGATCTCAACATGGTCAATGCTCTTTTCATGTTTAACACAGAGAAATGTAGCTGCACCTGTCTAGACAGATGTTAAATATGTAATGGTCTTGGGAGTAGTGTCCTGGGTCCATGAGATTTGCTGCTTTAGAATTTGGGACCATCAGAATAAGTCCCCAGTTGATTGTCTGTCATCGTACCCTGACGGCATGGATTGTTGCCAACAATATCAATCCCTGGATTGTCTGGTCAAGACTGGATTTTTTCCAGACTGCTGTCATACTGGAATATTAATGAGTGCAGTGTTGGACAAACACACAAACAAGTTAGGGTTATGACAAGGACCTCTTGACTTTCATGCTTAATTTTGAGCACTGCGAGGTGTAGCACAACTTCAGGTGTTGAGGTGTGTTTTACAAAGGAGGGCTGTACCCCCTAGTGTTTTGTTCATGTTTTATTTGTTCATTCTTTTACAAGATGTTGTTATCTGCAGCCTTTCGGTCAAGTTGGGTGAAACTGAAAAATTGTGTATATGGCAAAATTTGTGTCTGGTCAGCAGATAAATAACAGATTTTCAATGATTTGTATTTTTGAAGAATTGTCAGCGGTCAATTTTTTATCTTCACTTGTGGAGAAAGGTTTTATCCACCTTGAACATGATGCACACTTCGTTATAAAGAGGTGGTTCCAGGTGTGGCAAGGTGTCGGCTGACTTTATCTTAGCATTGGTTTATCAAGTTCATTTACAAAGAGTATTTTCTTAATATTTCAACTATTTACCGGAGTAACACAGATTTTACTAAGCTCCAGTGAGGCTCCTGATCATTAACCAAAGTCACAGATTGTGATTTGAATTTGAGTTTGTTTAATGCTGGACTGTTTGTTGACATGGTTCAATTTTGTCTGTTAAATGCTGACTGTTTGTTGAATGCCGACTGTTTGTTTCAGTGCTAGAGAGGAAAGAGAGCATCAAGATGAGTATGTTGACGATCGAGGAGTGCGACCTCCTGTCGGACTCCAAGTACCGGAACTACATCAGCCAGGTCGAGAAGGCTCTGCGTAGCTTTGAGAACACCAGCGAGTGGGCGGACCTCATCTCCGCTCTCGGAAAACTCAACAAGGTTAGTAGACATGGTACCATTGAGGTCTTGAGTTGTCTGTAGCAGATTTTCTCACATAATTGATGGATGTCAGTGCTGGAATTGGTACAATATGCGTGAACACAGAAAATTTCCAATGTTGAATTTTATGAATGAATGTAAGGGTGAAACGATACATCGGTGCATCATGAGTTTTCACACAACAATATGATACACAGTGCTTTTTTTCTGTAGACTATACACTTGCTAAAATAAATTACTGCTACTGGTTTGATAACCACCACCCCTGATTCAGCCTTTTTGTCTGTCAAATATTGTAAAATGTGTTGTAATTAGCTTTTCAAGTTTACTACTAAAACAATTGTAGAGGAAACAATTAAGATACACCAAATGTTCGATATAAGGTTACACTCCTAACTGTCATATAGCTGGAACACTATTGAAGGGGTGTTCAACAACAAACAAACAAGCACATAATGTGAAGATTATGATCCTTAGTATGTACTCAAGCACAAGCATCTGAAACATCTCTGACATCTGCATCACTTTGGGCCTTCCCAGAATAAGTTGACTCGGTCATTACAGCCACAATTCTGTTCAAAGTTACATTATTTCTCAACTCAGTTTCTCATTGACATTTTCAGGTCTTGTTGGCACATATGAAGTACCCAGTTGTTCCTAAGAAAGTGACAATTGGCAAACGTCTCGCTCAGTGCCTACACCCTGCCCTGCCGAGTGGTGTTCACCTCAAGGCCCTTGAGACATACGACATCATCTTCAAATGTATTGGGACGCAGCGTTTGGCCGTGGATCTGTTCATCTACAGTGCTGGCATGTTCCCGCTGCTCAGCCACGCTGCCATGAGTGTCAAGCCGGTGTTGCTGACTGTGTACGAGAAACACTTTGTGCCCCTGGGCAAGCACATCAAACCTGGCCTCAATGGCCTTCTGCTGGGACTGCTGCCTGGCCTTGACGAAGGGGCAGAGAACTATGACCGGTAGGTATGGGAGGGACTGGCAAATAGGCTTACCTGTGGTCATCTTCCTGAGGCAAGGGCGTTAACTGACTATAAAAGTCCAGTTTCCACCCTTGCCAAACTAGGCTTAACTCTCTTGCCTCGGGAAGATGACCTGTGGTACTCTTTACTACCACTACTGTTGCTACTAGTGTGGGAGGGACTGGCTTATGATGGAGAATCTTTGAGCACTTCAAGCTGAACGTTCCATAATACATTTAGGACACACTTTTTTAATTTTACGTTTCACAGATTTATTCCAGCTTTTCCACACAAGGTCTGTAAAAATAAAAATAAAAACAACCAGCTATGTCAATCATTATGTATTTATTCATATGAACCCCTGCCGTGTAGTTTGCATGGTTAAAGCTGCAGCTGCATTCTTGAGTCACTGATAGTGATGTCGGCATGGAATTCATATATTACATTTTTTATTGTATAAGAGGGTCTATGTTATGTTTCTTCGACTGGCTGCTTTACAGTAGGGGGTAGGGGTGGCAGGCCCGTGAAACAAAAAATAAAAATGTATGGCCCCTAAGGCCATGTAGGTAGAGGATGTTGGAGACTGCTGCCTTTCATTATAGATTGCGAATTCAGTATTTTGGAAAAATGTTTTTTCGAATATTTGCGCCGAAAAAAATTACACTGCACCCTTTTCAGTGACCTCCAGTAAACGAACGGGTGATAAGAAATTTGGTCAGTACAAATTTGAAATTTGAGATAGAAAATCACCAGACATGTTGTTCTACTGTTTAAGCTGTATTTTTTGTTCTGCTTGGCATTGTTTTACATCCAGGGATGAAGATTACCTTGCGTATTTTCTTGTAAACTAAGCCGGAAACAGCAATGAGCTGTACACACGTTTTCTTGGAATCTACCAGTGATTTGGTTAAAACTTACCCAATGATATAACTTTAAAGGATCTTAATGCAAGGATCGGGACAAATTGTATCTGAAACTATTTTTTTATCAGGAATAATATATTCCAATATCATGTTATTTTAGTGGCAGCTTTAATTAAATATATTTAAAATAATATGTGTAGCACTTCGGTGAAGCTGATTGTGACTGCCGGTTATTATTTTCGCATAGAAAAATTTAACCAGTCACTGTTGAGGCTCCAGGGGTTGAAAAATTATTTAAAATGTTACTTGACCAAGGGCAAGTATGACCAACATTCTCACTTGCCCTATTTTAAAATGTACTAGCCCAAAATCAAGCTAATAAATTCAGTAAAATGTTACTGCTGCAGAACTGAGAATAAAATTCTGAAATTTGAACATCCATCAATAAACGTTCTCTTACGATTGCAAGCGTGTATGTTTGGGTACTTGAAACAAATGGTGCACTTCATGACTTTCGCTGTGTCATCATACGCAACCCAAGGAAACTGGTCTTTCCACCCAGCGATGAATGTTCGTTTTCGTTTACATTCATCATACTTCTTATTCTTTGCCGATATACAACTTTCGGAATTTCCCTCTGCCTTCCTTTTAAGTTCGTCCCCACCGCCAAGAAACTTAAAATAGACCGCTGAGACATGACACTATGTGCGGTACTGGTAATATAAATTGTTATTGCAGATACCCCTCTGGGTGCTAATGAGGCAAAGGGAGACTACTCTGTCCTTTACTAGCTTACTTATTTGAAACAACAGATTTACTTACAGTGATCCCTCGCTATTGCACTCTTCATTATACCGCTAACTCGGTTATTGTGTGCGGTAACACATGGTTCCCAAAACTTATATACACTTTTAGTAAACTCAAGTCACTGACACGATGTCATTTCCCCATCGCAAAAACATTACCACCTGCACGCATCACCGGAAATACCAATCAACAAATTCCGCAATTAAATCCTATTATTACTATCTGGTTATAAAAAAATCACGTTTGTACCTTGACATGTTTGTAGCATATTTTATTAATTTTATTTAAAATTTCATTCAATACAGTTTAGATCAATTTTGCCGAAATCGTGCGTAAAGGGGTCGATAGATCGCACAACTCGCCGTTATTTACAGCAACCACGGTCAGGTTATCGCTATTGACGCCTCGAATGAACTTTAGTTGACAACGAAAAGAAACACATATTAAATAAATGCCATACTTTCACTCGTTAAAAGTCCCGTTTGTTGTAGTTCGACAAAATTATATTTCATCAAAGCTAGGCCTAACGAAGCGTCGGAAAATGTTTCAACCTCGCGTTACAATTTCCAAGAAATTTCATTTCCAAGAAACATGTGCCATATATGGAAGTGTTACTACGATTTAACAATGAAACAAGCCTGGTTCTCGTTGTTGACCTGCCTGACATCGAAATGTATTAATCCCATTGGTTGACTGGCGTAGCTGTATGCAAATTACATTGTCAGTCTGGGACACTAACAAAATATTAGCCAATCAAATACCGTAACATGATCACATGATTACATTCGCGTGAAACTTGACCCAGTTCATTCTGTGTGCACTACTTGTCCACGGGCATGCTAGAAAACGTATATTACACGCCCGACATCTAAACCTTACTTGGCACGGGCGTCGGGCAATGGTATTTTTCAACCCCTGCGCTCCCGCACATGTGATTGCGAGAACTACATGTTGACATAGATTCGTCAAACTACAACAAATATGACTTTTAATGAGGCAAAGTATGGCATTTATGATATATGTATCCATTCTCTGTCAACTAAAGTTTGTTTCAAGGCTTCAATAGCGGCAATCTGACCATGGTTGCTGTTAATAACAATGAGTTGTGAGATCTTCTGTTTGCATCACATACAATTTCGCCGAAATTAATTAAAACAATATTAAAAGGAATTTTGAATAAAATTAAAGAAATGTGTTACTGTCATAAGTCCAGATATACAATGAACACTTTTTATAACAAGACAGTGTAATTACATGATTAATTTGCGTACTTCAGTACGGATTTGTTGACATGGTATTTCTGGTGTTAACGTGCGGTAATGTCTTTAGGTTGGAGGGGGGGAAAAAACATCAAAACTCATCATGGCCTGTATAATGCGCACCCACTTCTACACAGCTGTGTTTTTTGGAAAAAGTGTGCACAAGAAAATATGGTAGGTGAAAAAGTGTTTTTGATGATATTTTATTACTGCAACCCTGTTATTAATGACTGACCAGTTCCCAGGAAATAAGAAAGCCCCCTAGGTAGAGAAGTGAAAACAGTTGTAACAATGGTAAAGGGTGGATCCAAGCATTGCTGTTGGGACTCATCTCATGTAAGGCTGTATGATGTGTTTAGGACCAATGTACTGTTGGAGGACTTCTGTGATGCAGCGGTCCCCAGCTTCTTCTACACCTGCCTGTGGGAGTGCATCCTGTCCTGCCCCAGTGTCAGACTCCCAGCCATCACCTTCCTCGTGTCCCACTTCAACAAGAAGCAGACCATGGAGGATCAGCTGGACATGATGGGCCTGGAGATAGACCTGATGGTGGGTAGACCTGATGATGGGTAGATGGGGTAGACCTGATGGTGGGTAGATGGGGTAGACCTGGTGGGTAGATTGGGTAGACCTGATGGTGGGTAGATGGGGTAGACCTGATGGTGGGTAGATGGGGTGGACCTGATAGTGGGTAGATGTGGTAGACCTGATGGTGGGTTGATGGGGTGGACCTGATAGTGGGTAGATGGGGTAGACCTGATGGTGGGTAGATGGGGTGAACCTGATGGTGGGTAGATGGGGTAGACCTGATGGTGGGTAGATGGGGTGGACCTGATAGTGGGTAGATGGGGTGGACCTGATAGTGGGTAGATGGGGTAGACCTGATGGTGTGTAGATGGGATGGACCTGATGGTGGGTAGATGGGGTGAACCTGATAGTGGGTAGATGGGGTGAACCTGATGGTGGGTAGATGGGGTGGACCTGATAGTGGGTAGATGGGGTAGACCTGATGGTGGGTAGATGGGGTGGACCTGATGGTGGGTAGATGGTGAAGACCTGATGGTGTGTATATGGGATGGACCTGATGGTGTGTAGATGGGATGGACGTAGGGTGGGTAGATGGGGTGGACCTGATGGTGGGTAGATGGGGTGGACCTGATAGTGGGTAGATGGGGTAGACCTGATGGTGGGTAGATGGGGTGGACCTGATAGTGGGTAGATGGGGTAGACCTGATGGTGTGTAGATGGGGTGGACCTGATGGTGGGTAGATGGGGTGGACCTGATAGTTGGTAGATGGGGTGGACCTGATGGTGGGTAGATGGGGTAGACCTGATGGTGGGTAGATGGGGTGGACCTGATGGTGGGTAGATGGAGTGGACCTGATAGTGGGTCTACCTGATGGTGTGTAGATGGGATGGACCTGATGGTGTGTAGATGGGGTGGACCTGATGGTGGGTAGATGGGGTGGACCTGATGGTGGGTAGACCTGATGGTGTGTAGATGGGATTGACCTGATGGTGGGTAGATGGGGTGGACCTGATGGTGGGTCTACTTGATGATGGGTAGATTGGGTAGACCTGATGGTGTGTAGATGGCATTGACATGATGGCGGGTAGATGGGGTGGACCTGATGGTGGGTAGATGGGGTGGACCTGATGGTGGGTAGATGGGGTGGACCTGATAGTGTGTAGATGGGGTGGACCTGATGGTGTGTAGATGGGATGGACCTGATGGTGTGTAGATGGGATGGACCTGATAGTGTGTAGATGGGATGGACCTGATTGTGGGTAGATGGGGTGGACCTGATGGTGGGTAGATGGGGTGGACCTGATGGTGGGTAGATGGGGTGGACCTGATGGTGTGTAGATGGGATGGACCTGATGGTGTGTAGATGGGGTGGACCTGATGGTGTGTAGATGGGATGGACCTGATTGTGGGTAGATGGGGTGGACCTGATGGTGGGTAGATGGGGTGGACCTGATGGTGGGTAGATGGGGTGGACCTTATAGTGGGTCTACCTGATGGTGTGTAGATGGGATGGACCTGATGGTGTGTAGATGGGATGGACTTATGGTGGGTAGATGGGGTGGACCTGATAGTGGGTAGATGGGGTAGACCTGATGGTGTGTAGATGGGGTGGACCTGATAGTGGGTAGATTGGGTAGACCTGATGGTGGGTAGATGGGGTAGACCTGATGGTGTGTAGGAGGGGTAGACCTGATGGTGTGTAGATGGGGTGGACCTGATGGTGTGTAGATGGGGTGGACCTGATGGTGGGTAGATGGGGTGGACCTGATGGTGTGTAGATGGGGTAGACCTAATGGTGTGTAGATGGGGTAGACCTGATGGTGGGTAGATCGGGTAGACCTGATGGTGGGTAGATGGGGTGAACCTGATGGTGGGCAGATGGGGTGGACCTGATAGTGTGTAGATGGGGTGGACCTGATGGTGTGTAGATGGGGTGGACCTGATAGTGGGTAGATGGGGTAGACCTGATGGTGGGTAGATGGGGTGGACCTGATGGTGGGTAGATGGGGTGGACCTTATGGTGGGTAGATGGGGTGGACCTTATGGTGGGTAGATGGGGTAGACCTGATAGTGTGTAGATGGGGTGGACCTGATGGTGTGTTGATGGGGTAGACCTGATGGTGGGTAGATGGGGTGGACCTTATGGTGGGTAGATGGGGTAGACCCGATGGTGGGTGGACCCGATGGTGGGTAGATGGGGTGGACCTTATGGTGGGTAGATGGGGCAAACCTGATAGATGGTATATGAGGTAGACCTGATGATAGGTAGATGGGATGGACCTGATTGATGGTAGATGGGGTGGACCTGAGGTTGGGTAGACCTGATGGTTGGTAGATGGAGCAGACCTGATGAGATGGGGTAGACATTGTGGAGGTTGATGATGACAGCATCTTATGTTGGAAGGTGGATTTATATTGATAATATTCTATTGATGCTAATATTGAGGCCTTCCTCTCTGCTGCTAGGTGAAGGCAATCTGCGGCTCCCTGCAGGACATGAGTGTTCTAGTGCAACGTATCCTTCTGGACTTCTTGCTGCTGGCATTCCCCATGCACAACGCCCAGCTCACCAAGGAAGACATGAGCAAGATAGTCAAGTCGGCCATCAATGTCGTCCTCCGCCGCGACATGTCACTCAACCGACGACTGTACGGCTGGTTGCTAGGGACTTCCTCGACCGGAGCCACTGTGGCGGTAACAGAGACAAATCGACTGCATCGGTCTGACAGCACTTCTACATCAAGTGAATTAGATCTGGGATATTTTCACCAGTACTCTAAGGACCTGTTAGTGAAGGCACTGAAGGGCAAGCTGACCAACACTAATGGGTTTGACTTTCACACCGGCACAAGGACCTCTGTATTGAAGCCATTCAGGATACTCATCAGCTTGTTGGACAAACCTGAGATAGGCCCAGTCATCCTGGAAAGTGTTCTGTTGTCGGTGTTCAGGTGTTTGCTCCGGGAGTGTAAAGGCGTTCCAGAAGTCTCCGTTCAGAGTGATACGTCAAGACCTCGGAAGAATGGCAAAGTCAGCAGAGAGAGTTCAGACAAAGATGACCAGCTAGGCAGTGAAATGATCAAAACTGCTAACTTGCTGTTCGGGTCATTTGAGCCGTACTTTATATGGGACTTTGTGTCACGGATGTTCACAAGTGCATGTGATACCACAAAGATGGCTCTACGGGCCAGTGTGTCGTCTAGCCACGAAGCAAATGACTCTCCGTCTCTACTAGAGCTGTGCAGCATTGTTGAGTTTCTGTTGGATATCGTCTCGCTGGTAAGTCAGGCAATTGCCGTGGGGACTCCCCAGAAACTTATGCTTGTCATCATAGTCCGGCCCAGGCTTGATTATTTCCATGTTACCATGGTTAGTGTTATAAAGCTGGAAGATTGCTGAATGTGGCGATAAGCAAGACATAGTACAAATAGCTATTGACTGTGAATGATGATTGATATAACAGATTTGAATATCTGAGTTCATGAAATGTCAGAAACGTCTTTGGTTATTTACATGCTTAGCTACAATTGCAGGATTCTGTAAGATTCTTCAGTAACAATGGAAACTATTCATCATGTTCCACACCATGATCACATAAACAGAAAGAATAGTGTTTTTTTGTCTTATTACAACAGGGTTTTTTAACATGCACCTTTACACAGTTTAAACTGAGTCCGGGTGTCCATCGGTATTTAGAGTTGTATAGGCTTTCAATATGGAAATATTACCTGAATAACAGGGATGGATTGTGCTCTTTTACTTTAGTGAGTGAGTGAGTGAGTGTGGTTTTACGCCGCTTTTAGCAATATTCCAGCAATATCACGGCGGGGGACACCAGAAATGGGCTTCACACATTTTACCCATGTCGGGAATCGAACCTGGGTCTTCGGCGTGACGAGCTAACGCTTTAACCACTAGGCTACCCGACCGCCCCTCTTTTGCTTTAGTGTACCACAGGGATGTTTTAGGTGCCCTCTTTGCAAGTTAGGTTTGCCAGCAAGAGAATATGTTTTATCTATCTTCAACAGTGTTCAAACTCGGAATGTCATTTCATCATAAGCAGTTGTATTTTAGAATGTTTGCCCTTTCCTCTTCATTGACATTCATAATACCCTAAACAATTTCTGTGTACCCGGGTTTGGTTTGTTTGTTTAAAGCCGCATTCAGCAATATTCCAGCTATATGACAGCGGTCTGTAAATAATCAAATGTCAAGCTCTCAATAATCAAATATAACAGCACTACAATGGGAACACTGACTATAATTGTTAAGAAATATCTCTTCTCTTCAAGAGAAAAATTGCTCAACATGTCTGACATATGAGCATGGGATCAAGACAAGCCATGCTTATGGAACATAGCAAAAAGAAATATTGCAATCTATAATGATATATTGCAATACAAGTATCTATGTGGTATAAGTATTGCAATATAGTGAGAGCTAAAGTGTTTCACAGTGATTCACACTGATTGTATATGTCGATCATATTATTTCTATACCAATAGTATATATTACCATGATTACTCAGCATGGTCTGTCGCTGCCATTTTGTAGTCATGGATACAGGGGAGATAACAATGTAAGAGAAATATCACTTCTGCCTTTTCGCAGTTTTGTCAATCAATTTCTAAGGGAAGCATCAATTGTGACGAATTTCTATGTCGATTTTAGGTTGAATGAAACAATAACGAAATTTGTTATATATTTTGTTACCTAGCATATCTGAACACAGAAAAATATTGCAATATATAGTGTTTGAAAAGAGTATTGTGGTATACCAGTAGGACCATGCAGTCCTAATCATAGTTAAAAATGAGATAGATGAACATTTTCTTCAATCAGGAGATGTACCTAGAGACGCAGACCGAGTACCTCCCTGAGCTGCTCCATCACATCATCGCTTCTGTCATCGGCCACGTGAACCACATCACCGAGGCCGAGGTCACCGCCACCCTCAAACTCTGCACCAAGATTCTGGAAAAGGTACAGCCCTCCATGACAACTGGTCTTGAAACTGCAGAAGGCGATGACTCAGAGGTCATGGTCGGGTCAGAGGTCACAAGGGAGGAAATTGACCTTGCTGTGAGGAAGAGAATTGAAGCAAAAGACAGAACAGAAAACAAGAAAAATAACGATAGAAAAGTGTTTGGTGAGGAAGATGGTGTGAAAAAGGAAAGGAATGGTGATAAAAGTGTAAGTCAGGAGAAAATTAATAAATCCGAAGATGAGAAAGAGGATGAGAGTTATTTCAGTGCTCCCAGTGATGTAGATGGCGCAAACAGTCCAATGAAAACAAATGTAGATGAAACTCACACAAAACCAAAATCAGATGCTGAGGCTGATGGCATGTCTCAAAGAACTGACTTGAAAACAGAAGGAATTGAAACGAAAAACCAGTGCCAGTCGAAACCCATGATGCCCGAGCTGAAGCGACAAGGAAGTGTGGCAAACCCAGTGACCCTGATGCAAGCCTGTGTTCATGGCTTCCAGGAATTCTTCCATGTTTACACAAACAAGCGTGTACTGAAGAACTCAGCTGTGTCATCCAAGTGTATCGACATGATCACCCTGTCCCCGGAGCTCGTCCGGTCCAGTGACAAGGACTCGGTGCTGGATGGGAACTCTACGTGTAGTGGGGATGACCGCCCCTACGCTGACATGTCAGGGTTGAAGGTCTCGGCGGAGGGGTTGAAGGAGAAGAGTTTTGAGGCGTTCGGACAGGCGTGTCGACTGTTGGTCGACTTTTCCAGCTTTCCCATGTTCTGTACAGACTATCACAAGGTCATGGACCAGACTTGTCAAACGGGTAAAGTTGGTTTACATATATTTTTTTTCCAATCCATAACTTATCACATGTATAACCAGGATTTTACGTGATGCACAAATGTTTGTCCAGTACGCACAAATGTTGACATTGGATGCAGAAAACAAATATGCTGCATCCCGTGGGACGCACACTAATATTCATTGTCCCTACAGTGCATCAAGATGATCAAGAGAAGTTATAGGTGTCTGTCATTTCATCCATCAATCATGACCACTGTCTACATGGTCATTGATTCATTCCTGGCTCTAAAGTAGTTATCAAAACGTACAGTACACTACACCATTGCATTACTTTACAGGCCCCTCATATCGCCTGCGAGGACCCTTAAGTTAATTATTAGGGTCCCCTGGATGGTAAAACCCTGACTGAAGGTCTCGGCTTGAAATAGAAATACATGTACATGATGTATGAATAAGTTAACAAAACAGTTGTTTATAAAATGATGTTGTAAACATGGTAAAGGTAGTGTAGGGTAAACATTATACAAACAGTGTAGGGGAGAAAAACTGAAATCAAGTATATGTTCTTCTTGGACAAACAGCTTTGAGCATGTTGAGTGAATGACAAAACGGAGTTACTTCCCTTACTACTAACTATATTAATCTTCTTGTTTGTTTCTTTTATCATTAAGAATTCTTGACAATATTTTTTTTATGTTCAACCATGTCCGCATTAATGGAATTTTGGATGGTATTTAACATACCTTTAAAAAAACAGCCTTTCTGGGTTTGCTATTTTATTGTACTTTCTTTTCAGAGGACAGCAGTGCCCTACCAGAATGGCTGCAGGACCTGATCACATGTGCTTGCTTTGTGGACTGCTTTGAGATACAGAGTGCTGCCATAGCAACCATTCTGGAGCTCATCACTCTCACCCAGTCCGTCCAGTCAGTGACTGAGAACAAGGGTCAGGAGACTGGTCAGCGAATGTCCACCAGTGAGAGAGGAACAGTGTCTGTGGTGATTCTGCCATCACTCCTACCAAGGCACCTGCAGTACATCAATGACAATATGGTGTTCTACCAGGTAGGTTCATGTGTTTATGTGTATGCTTTTGTAGTTGCGTTGTATCTCAGCTTGTGAGGATTGGTGGGATGCAGGTAGTTTCGGACAAACAATATTGCATCCTGAAGACATACAAATTGAGGTTGGATAAAAAAAGTACGCAATTTAATAATTAAATGTAGCAAAATTGTAAGTTGCAGATTTCATATGACTGGTAAGACAAAGTTCAGGGTGTCAGTGGTTGATTTTCCTCAATCTTACAATGAAATCCCCTTCTAGGATAGACTTGATGGTTGTGATTTATTATTTATGGGTTAAAACATGACTCTCAGGTTTTAATTGAAAACCATGGATGAGTATTTCAACTTATAAACTGGCTAAATGCAAGAAATACCAGACAGAATGAAAACCACTGGGATACCTTTTAGTTAAACAGTACAGTGGTCGCAGTATAAAATGAATTCGATGACAACGGGTGAGAGAAAGACCATGTGCAGCATGCACACAACTGGAGTCTTGACATGCAAGATTGAACACCCTTTCATCACCTGCCCCAAGGGCTCAGTGGGAAAACTGAGGGTTACAATACTAAACATGATATGTGAGATTGCAGGTTCGATTCTTGTCAAGAAATCTGCATGTGAAAAAAATTATCACTTGCAACCTGTCAATAATCAACATTAGATACGTATTAGAATGATGTTAATAAATCTTTTGCAATGTAACACTACTGTTGTCAGAGGTTCTTCAAAATGTTAGGAATTACCTGGGAATGACTTAGGAATTACATGGGAATTACCTGGAAATGACTCAGGAATTACATGGGAATTATATAGGAATTACATGGACATGACCCAGGAATTACATAGGAGTTACCTGGGAATGACTCAGGAATTACATGGGAATTACCTGGGAATGACCCGGGAATTACATAGGAATTACATGGACATGACCCAGGAATTACACAGGAATTACCTGGGACTGACTCAGGAATTACATGGGAATACCCTGAGCAGCATGTGTTCCAGGAAAATAACCTTACCTAAACAATGGGATGACATGACAGGACATTTATAAGTAGAGCCAGTGGATCCTGGGAACCCCCTGTGGCACTGCTCTCTACCCCACTCAACCCTACTCTACCCAACCCTACCCTGCCCTTCTCTGATGCCTATGCTTGAATGATGATGTACTTTTTTGCAGACTGTAGCCCGTGAACTGTGGTCCTATCTGAGCTCCAAATTCAGCATGCACCATCTCCAGTGTGTGGAGCTGTTTCATCAGTTGCATCAGGTGACCCCAAGCAGTTGGGTGTGTGAAGATGTGATCGGGACTGCACTTGTCTCGGACAATGAGGTCAGTGGGGATCGAAGTACTTTGTGCATAGAAATAATGTGGAACATTACACATGACTGGCATTTTCATTCAGGGAAATATATAAGAATTTTACTGATTCAGTCTATAGGTATGCTTTTTGTTTCAATTTAGAACTTTGTTTTGTGTTTTTAGAGGTGTAAAAAATCTGTTTTATACTCACATTTATGATTTTCTTCAAAAAAATTCAATTTACATTTGTATCATCATAAAGCCCTTTAAAAACCAATCTTATTTCCATTTATAGATATCAATATTTGAGATTCAGACAAAGCTGAGATTACCATTTCCTTTAGTACTTTGGATGTTACCATGGTACCTTTAGTTCGGCAAGGGTGGAAACTGGACTTTTAGAGTCAGTTAACTCCCTTGCCTGGGGAAATTGTTCTTTAGAATAATTAAACTGGATTGGAACTGAGGAGTTGGTGGTATCCATGGCTTCATGATGTTGACTGGTTGTGTTTGTGTGACTTTTGTAACTGGTACGTGTGTTGTGTGTCCAGATCGAGCGTATTGAGGCCTTGAAGAAGTTCACAGTCCTCTGGCATCTCACCCGGGACCTGAAGATTGACCACAACCCAGGACACCCAGTGCGGACATTTGACAGGTGCTCTCATTATGCTCATTGTGTTCATCAATTGGAGGGCCACAGATGGCCATGTCGGCTCCACGATGCTCTGTGCGGAGTTGCATCCTCTACCCAGGAACGTGGGTTCAAATCCCGGTCGCCTCGATTATGTTTCTAGGGATGTCAGCACCAAACCCCTTCCTCGTGGTTTCACCAAAGACCTGAACGTCTGATCCAGACTCGATTATATACAGATCACCATCATATAGCTGGAATATTGCTGAGAGCGGCCTTAAACAGCAAACCAACCATCCAACCAACCTAAATGTCTGGGACCTGCATTGCTTGGGCTTTCCTCCCATATCAAGTAGACATGACGTTATTCAACTAAAATAGCCAAACTGACTTTTCTCACTCACTCAATCGTTAGTTGGATACCGCTTACTGTTTGATGTCATTTCTGACCCATAAAGATCTTGGGTAGAATAGGTCTTCAGCAACCCATGCTTGCTGTAAAATGTGACTATGCTTGTGGTAAGAGGCGACTAACGGGATCGGGTTGTCAGGCTCCAGACTCGATTATTTACAGACCGCCATCATATAGCTGGAATATTGCTGAGTGCGGCTAAGAGAACAAACAACAACAACATGATGCCATTTCTATGGATACATATAGGTCAGTGATATATTTCATTGTTTACCAAATAAAATATAAGAATAATTAGTGCTGGTTAACTTACTGGTACTTGTTTCAGCCAGATATTTATTTCCCATAAGATTAATTACCAAAAATAACACTAGGTCACCAGACCACCATTTAATTAATGCCACTGATCCCTCTCGAACATTGTCTTCCAAGTTTGCTTTGCAGCTATATCAGTCTACAGGTCATGACTTGACCTAATGATGAGAAGTAGAACTTAACTGTATTTCATGGGCTTTAGCTTGTGAACCAAATTTAAAGTTTGCTTGACATTTGTGCTAGTTTCACCCTGAATATCAACACTTGCAGCTCTTAAATTGATTATTAATCAACTATTATCATGATAACTAAAGACATCTGCTAATTCTAACATGGAAGACAATCCTACATATGTTACATTACTTGCTTCATTTGTTTCTGCAAATTGTGAAGCTAATGAGAGATACGGAATTGCTTTATCAATTAGACATTTGTGCAATTAATGATTGTTTTGAATATCAAGATTGATTGATGAATCATCGATTCGATCAATCCACCACTGCTACACATGGACTTGGGACTAGGAACTAAAGCCTGTGATTGTTTTCCTCCAGATCGATGTTTGTGGTGCTTGACTACCTGAAGGAAGAGTCTAATGCCACAAAGACCCTGGCAGCAACATGGCTGACACATGTGGTGCAGCGCGGCGACATCAACAGGGTGCTGCAGCCGCTGCTGCTCATGTTGCTGCACCCAGACACAGCCAGGTGAGATTAGCCATTACAGCACAGGGGACAGCCACAGAAGGAACTGCAGTGTGTCATCCACATTACTTTGTGGTAGGGCTGGGACGGGTAACTCGGGTACTTGGGTCGGGTGGGTACTGAGTAGGACCCGTGGTTAGTCACGTGATATGTTGTTTAATGGCAAAAATGATCTAGAACTCTATGGTTAACCTATAAGTGATAAATGATGACAATTCTTCCTGACTTTGCACACATTCCTTCTGACTTTATGTGTTTGCATAAGATAAAACTTTAGTGAACTTCGGTATATGCATGACCAGTATTTTTGCATGACCAGATTGGTTTATACGTGTATTTTGACAGGAGTACGGTCAAACGTTTCCCAATTAGACATTTTGTACCTATCCCTTGAGACCTCCAGCAGGTACCCAGGTAGGGTCAGGTAATAAAGGGCTGGGTACCCAGGTAGTAAATTTATACTCATCCCAGCCCTACTTTGTGGGATTGATTTTCATAAGAGCTCAAATTTTGTTTCTTCAAGACATGAATTTTTTATTATCTGACAAAAACAAACTCATTTTAGTATACATTAAGTAGAACACAGTTTGAGACTGAAACCGGGAGATTCTAATTGGATTCCCTAAGAAATGAATTTGCAAAGTGAATAAAAACTATGAAAAAAGTGTTCAATATCCTGGAACTCTGGCCTCTGTTTGAGCCTATTACTACTCTACCAGATTATATTTTATGCCCTCAAGAAATAAATTTGTTTCAAAAAAGCCCCAAACATTTCAATATGCAGGAAATGTCATGCAGTTTCAACCTGAAACTCGGCCAGATCGTGAACTTTTTTCCTTTCTTTCAGAATCTCGATCCAGCATGTGAATGTTCACAAACCAAAGAAAGTTCAGCTGTCAGAATCTGGTGATGAAGATGACTTTAATGCAAAAATCTATGCCATCAGCAGCGAAGGTGGCAACGTCATCTTCCATGTGAGTCAAGAAGGGAACAGATTTTCCCAGAAGACTACAGAAGATTTGAAATCTGTTGCTATGACTGTGATGAGCGAGAAAGGATCTGCCACAACAGCACGAAGCAAGAATGTAGATGTAGACAATGCTTTCGACCGAGTCAACCCAGATGACCTCAATTTGAGGATCAATCCGTTTGGTTCCCAGAACTCACTGGACAAGCTGATATTTGACGGGTTCGAGATGCCCCATTCAGCCTCCATGCCTAATCTGACATCAGCCAGGAGGCTGGACAAGGAGACATGTAAGAAGGAAGGAATCTTTTTTGATCCTGCAGAGGAAGCGAATACCGAATCAACTGATGATGATGAGGCATTTGAGGCCGAAATGACAAATGAGGACTTTGTGAGAGAGATGCTCGAAGAAATCCTTCACAAGGCTGTTTCCACTGCTCAGTCGGATGGGTTCTCGAGGCGTGAAGCTGAACGTACCATAAGCTTAACTTCCAAAGATGGTAGTATTTTAGGGGACCATGACTTGTTGAACGCCATTGGTAAAAGAGGTCTGGAGATAGACTCACTGTCCAGCAGTGAAAATGACCTCCGACAAGTTGTGGAAGATGAGGATGAACGATCCACAGACATACACACACTCCATATGCATATTCTGCTCTATACACAGAAATATGACTACAAGCGAGCACTGTATGCTCTCTCCACCATCAAGGCCATGTTGACCATGTGTCCACGACTTGTGGTAACAGCCATGTCCACCACAAGCATCAGTGCAATCCGTGCTCCTCACATGACTAAGATACAGACTTTACTTGCCCGACACAGGAAGTCAGTATTTGGGAAGAACTTCTTTGGGGAGCTTCCTCCTGAGGTGCTATCTGGTTACCGTAGCAACATGTTTATTGAGATTGTTATCTCTCTGTGTCTGTATTATGTGAGGAGTTATTATCCAAATCTGATGATCAGTAAACCATCGTCGGAAGAGTTGCTAGGCAACAAAGAGGTGCATATTATGGCTACGGAGATTTTGACCTTGTTGATGTCCGAACTTGTCAGTATTATGAGAGATAGTGGGAAGAGTTTCCGATCCTACATTGGAGACTTGTTGTCAAAGTGCAAGCTTCAGAAAGCTTTGCTTCATTGTTTGCTCGCCAGTGTGTACAACAACAGAAAGAAAAATCCAGAAAACAAGACCAAAATCACCGAGGCGATTATCGCGTTTAACGAAGAAGGACTTGACCCGTGTGCTAACGAAACATTCCAGATTAAATTGCTCAACTTGATTCTCGTCATGATCATGCTAGAGGAACAGATTTATGGAACCTATTCTGACCCTGAAGCGGCCAATCAGAATGGAGTATCTGACTGGGACCGGACTAGAGTGAACTTTCAGGCCTCACTCTTAAAGGTTCATTATTCGGCATCTTTACCCATCGTGCAACAGACAATGTTTTTATCTGGTGTTCTGAGCACGCTGAAGCAGCATCACATGTGCCATATGCATCGACACTGGGTTGCCATGGTAACATCAGCACTCCCATATATGGGGAAAGCGTTGTCCAGAGTGGTCCTGTGTATTGTGTCTCAACTCTGTCGGAACCTGGAAGTCATTGCTGGAGAGTATGTCATGAACAGTAAGAAAAGGTGAGGGATTCTTTAACACATGTTTACACATGGCTGCTTTGGTAAGTGGTAATTGGATTAGAAATTATTAAAAATTGTCTGTTTTAGGATAAATATGTTTTAGCCCAGTCTGGTCCAGTGATGATTCTGTGATACTGGTACACTGGGGACAGCTGGTATCATCATTTTCAACTTACTTACAATACTTGGCATGATTAGCACAGCAGCCTCTGACTTCAGTCCAAAGCCTGTGTCTAGTAAATGTCTGTTAGAGACCGCCTCCGTGGTCTAGTGGTAGAGCGGAAGGTCCGGGGTTCGATACCCGGATGCGTCGTACCAAAAGACGTTAAAAGATGGTACTTGTTGTTACCCTGTCTGGCGCTCAGCATTAAGGGACTAAAACAAGGACTGCTCGGCTTGGAGTCAGAATACTGTGTCTGAGTGGGGTATTCATGTTAAACTGCAGCATGGTATCTCAGTGAGCTAGCACTATAAAACGGCATCAGTCCGGACTAGTACAAGCAGCCACACACACACATGCATGCATGTCGCTATATAAGCGCAGTAATCTCGGATGCGAAAGTTAAACCCAATTTCACCTCAGATCACCGGTTCGGTTTAGTAAGCTCAGCTGATAATACTCAATATTACATTAGAATCTGAAATGAAAATTTGGGCTTATATACTCAAAAACGTTTTGGCACAGACAGTCATAGTGTTTGTTTGTTTGTTGTTGAACGCCGCACTCAGCAATATTCCAGCTACATGACGGTAGTCTGTAAATAATCAAGTCTGGACCAGACAATCCAGTGATTGACGTCATGAGCATTGATCCTCCCATTTGGGATACATAGTGATTTCATTAGTTTTAGGTAATGCATGGAGTTCGATGTTATTGTTCTCTACTATGGCTACAGTATATGCCTCTGTAAGTAGGTAAATTTAAAGGTATATCCAGAGCTCCAGATAAGCTTTTGGTGTTGTGGGTATTTTAGCCATGCATTTTAAAATCATTGGGTATCAGTAATTCTATCTGGGTATTCAAATTTCTGTTACCCACTAGTTTTTACACATGTGGGTATTTAAGTTAAATATTTAAAAACACTATTCATAGGGTCCCTGCAAACTGGTGTCGTGTGGGTTCGAGAGCTTTATAGGACTCAAAAATACCACGATACTTCCACAAGAAAGTGTGACCGCAAATGATCATGATGTAACTGTCATCGTGGAGTTTGGCAAGGTTGACGGAATGCCCGTTTATAATTTCAAAATAAGTTGCTGATTTGCTAATCGAATACGCAGGGTTACTTAACACTATTTTGATGATACGCACTAGTTTTATTTTTGTAGCGTATCAGTAATGTTCGTTGCGTATTTGATACGCTTGGATTTTATTTTACTGCATATTTCTGCATTTTTTATGTGTATTTCACGCAGATACGCAGCTTATCTGGAGCTCTGTATATCCTGAGATATATAGGATCAGTATATCGACTTGGCAAGCACACTGATCCTAATACAAGATCTAGTTTCAGTACAGGTCATCTCTCCTCCCAGTTGTTTTTAGTCCAGTGATTTCTCTGTCCAGTGATGAGGGCGGTCGGGTAGCCTAGTGGTTAAAGCGTTCGCTCGTCACGCTGAAGACCCGGGTTCGATTCCCGACATGGGTACAATGTGTGAAGCCCATTTCTGGTGTCCCCCGCCGTGATATTGCTGGAATATTGCTAAAAGCGGCGTAAAACCATATTCACTCACTCACTCACTCACTGTCCAGTGATGACATCATCCTTGCGCACTCAGTGCTGGCGATGTTCCTGTGAACGCCGTTAGTGTGCCGACAACCTAGGGACCCGTGTCTGTCGTGTAGATGGAGGCGGGGCTGAGGACAGCATTGAAATCACACAAGAATAATTACCAAATAGAAAATCAAAATACCACCTCAAAAAATTATTAGGAAAATAACCAAAACGCTCCTGTTAACCAGTGAAATTGTTGAGATCAACTCATGTACAGATGCACAGATAACAGGTCCGAATCGCCCTTTAATTGTATATGGACATTTCTAATGATCATCTTCAGGGCTTCGTTCCTCGAAGCAAATATCTTCCATACTTTAACATGGACCAGAGCTCCAGATAAGCTGGGGGGAACGGGTGGCCGAGTCATCTAAGGCGGCACGATTCGCTGTGCAGAGTTGCGTCCCTTGGACACGCCAGAAACCTATGATTGTGGGTTCGAATCCCGGTTCACCCCGATTATGTTTCTAGGTTTGTCAGCACCATACCCGTGCTCGTGGGTTTCACCAAAGGGGTAAACGTCTGACGCCTGTATCACTTCGGGCTTTCCTCCCACATTAAGCTGACACGCCGCAATATAACTGGAATACTGTTAAAAGCGGCGTTAAACCCAACTCACTCACTCACTCACTCACTCACTCACTCCAGATAAGCTGTGTATCTGCGTAAAATACGCATCAGAAATTCAGAAATACGCAATGAAATAAAATTCAAGCGTATCAAATACGCAACGAACATTACAGATATGCTACAAAAATAAAACTAGTGTGTATCATCAAAATAGTGTTAAGTAACCCTGCGTATTCGATTAGCAAATCAGCTACTTATTTTGAAATTATATACGGACATTCCGTCAACCTTGCCAAACTCAACGGTGACAGTTACATCATGATCATTTGCCATCACACTTTCTTGTGGAAGTATCGCAGTATTTTTTAGTCCTATAAAGCTCTCGAACCTACACGACAACAGTTTGCAGGGACTAAACGAATAGTGTTTTTAAATATTTAACTTAAATACCCACATGTGTAAAAACTAGTGGGTAACAGAAATTTGAATACCCAGATAGAATTACTGATACCCAATGATTTTAAAATGCATGGGTAAAATACCCACAACACCAAAAGTCTATCTGAAGCTCTGTAGACTTAAGACAGGTGTCGTGCTACAATCGCTGTGTTAGACAGGGCCCATGCCACAAGGCAACTGTAGCACAGAGACAATCAGAACTCCCATACTTTAACAAGGACTTAAGACCGTTGTAGTGCTAAGATGACTCCATGGGGCCCTGGCTTGGGAGATCTTCAGACTAATGGGGCGCAGACTAACTGGACTTCTCTGTACTTGTACCTTGTCGTTCTGACCGCAGCTCGGCCCTGCTGCAGCTAGCCCCTCCTGACCACACGGTGACCATGTTGGAAGGACTGACCACCCTGTGTCACTACTGCCTGCTGGACAACGTTTCCCCGATGTCCATCGGCCAGCCCGCACCCACAGCCTGCCTCATCAGCACAGAGACGGCCAGCGCTGGACATATACTCACAAACCTCATCCACGTTTTCAACCCCATCAATAGCAGCAGGGTAGGCCTGGTAGGCAGATCTGTGATATATGTCTTGGTATATAGTGCTGTAGTTAGAAATGCTGTGATGGGATCCATGAAACTGGAGTAGCTGCAGTTATGATATCCCCTCCTCCGTTCCTTGTTTAATGTCAGTTTTCTTCAATATGTTACTCACCACCATGACCACTGGGGGCTTCTGATCTTTCTCTAAGAAAACTTAGCAGGTTTGCACTGTAGAATTTACATTGCACTTCTACATTTCTGATTAGCAATAATTGAATAAAAAAAGGTAAAAGTTTATAAAGTCTCTTTCTTAATCACTTCCATCCAAGTACCGTATTCGATGTAATAAGCGCCCCGCTCTAATAAGCGCCCACGGCGATATTTGCTAATATATAGGCTTGTGAACAATCCCAATTAGCACCCCTTCCGATTGATCAATGTACACAAGACTTATTTATTCGCGTATAATACGCACTCATGTGCTATATGAACCCTTAATTATGGGCAATTAAGTTCTTGAAAAATATATCTGTCGTATATAAAAATTTCAGACTGTAAGCATAAACCAAGAAATTTATCTTTCAACTATTTTTTTTCCACCAAAATAATATTCTAATAAGAGCGTTATTATTAGCCTTATTATGATTTGACTGCCTGGTATGTCCAGGAGACGAGTCCTCAACGAGATGACTCCCCCAACAACCCGGTGCTGGAGGCACGGAGGACGCTACTGAGCATCCTGCCCCGCATCATGGCCTGCATGTCCACCCTATGGAGGGCCATCAACGCCGTCAAGGTGCCCGAGGCCAAGGCACTCGTGAAGGAGGGCTTCCTGGCTCTTGGCTCTCCCAAGGTGAGCGAGTAGCTGGTGTGTCTTGTGTGTGGAGTGTTGTGCCTCCCAAGGTGAGCGAGTAGCTGGTGTGTCTTGTGTGTGGAGTGTTGTGCCTCCCAAGGTGAGCGAGTAGCTGGTGTGTCTTGTGTGTGGAGTGTTGTGCCTCCCAAGGTGAGCGAGTAGCTGGTGTGTCTTGTGTGTGGAGTGTTGTGCTTCCAAGGTGAGCGAGTAGCTGGTGTGTCTTGTGTGTGGAGTGTTGTGCTCCCAAGGTGAGCGAGTAGCTGGTGTGTCTTGTGTGTGGAGTGTTGTGCTTCCAAGGTGAGCGAGTAGCTGGTGTGTCATGTGTGTCTTGTGGGTGAAGCGTTGTGCTTCCAAGGTGAGCGAGTAGCTGGTGTGTCATGTGTGTCTTGTGGGTGAAGCGTTGTGCTTCCAAGGTGAGCGAGTAGCTGGTGTGTCATGTGTGTGGAGCGTTGTGCCTCCCAAGGTGAGCGAGTAGCTGGTGTGTCATGTGTGTCTTGTGTGTGGAGTGTTGTGCCTCCCAAGGTGAGCGAGTAGCTGGTGTGTCTTGTGTGTCTTGTGGGTGAAGCGTTGTGCTTCCAAGGTGAGCGAGTAGCTGGTGTGTCATGTGTGTCTTGTGGGTGAAGCGTTGTGCTTCCAAGGTGAGCGAGTAGCTGGTGTGTCATGTGTGTGGAGCGTTGTGCCTCCCAAGGTGAGCGAGTAGCTGGTGTGTCATGTGTGTCTTGTGTGTGGAGTGTTGTGCCTCCCAAGGTGAGCGAGTAGCTGGTGTGTCATGTGGGTGGAGCGTTGTGCCTCCCAAGGTGAGCGAGTAGCTGGTGTGTCTTGTGTGTGAAGCGTTGTGCTTCCAAGGTAAGCGAGTAGCTGGTGTGTCTTGTGTGTGGAGTGTTGTGCCTCCCAAGGTAAGCGAGTAGCTGGTGTGTCTTGTGTGTGGAGTGTTGTGCCTCCCAAGGTAAGCGAGTAGCTGGTGTGTCTTGTGTGTGGAGTGTTGTGCCTCCCAAGGTAAGCGAGTAGCTGGTGTGTCTTGTGTGTGGAGTGTTGTGCCTCCCAAGGTAAGCGAGTAGCTGGTGTGTCTTGTGTGTGGAGTGTTGTGCCTCCCAAGGTGAGCAAGTAGCTGGTGTGTCTTGTGTGTGGAGTGTTGTGCCTCCCAAGGTGAGCGAGTAGCTGGTGTGTCTTGTGTGTGGAGTGTTGTGCCTCCCAAGGTGAGCGAGTAGCTGGTGTGTCTTGTGTGTGGAGCGTTGTGCTTCCAAGGTGAGCGAGTAGCTGGTGTGTCTTGTGTGTGGAGTGTTGTGCCTCCCAAGGTGAGCGAGTAGCTGGTGTGTCTTGTGTGTGGAGTGTTGTGCCTCCCAAGGTGAGCGAGTAGCTGGTGTGTCTTGTGTGTGGAGTGTTGTGCCTCCCAAGGTGAGCGAGTAGCTGGTGTGTCTTGTGTGTGGAGTGTTGTGCCTCCCAAGGTGAGCAAGTGGCTGGTGTGTCTTGTGTGTGGAGTGTTGTGCCTCCCAAGGTGAGCGAGTAGCTGGTGTGTCATGTGGGTGGAGTGTTGGCTCTCCCAAGGTGAGCGAGTAGCTGGTGTGTCTTTTGTGTGGAGTGTTGTGCCTCCCAAGGTGAGCGAGTAGCTGGTGTGTCATGTGGGTGGAGTGTTGGCTCTCCCAAGGTGAGCGAGTAGCTGGTGTGTCATGTGGGTGGAGTGTTGTGCCTTCCAAGGTGAGAGAGTGGCTGGTGTGTCAGGTGGCTGCAGTGTTGGGTCTCTCAAGGTGGGTCAGTGGCTGGTGTGTCAGGTGGCTGCAGTGTTGGGTCTCTCAAGGTGGGTCAGTGGCTGGTGTGTCAGGTGGGTGGAGTGTTGGGTCTCTCAAGTTGGGTCAGTGGCTGGTGTGTCACGTGGGTGGAGTATTGGGTCTCTCAAGGTGGGTCAGTGGCTGGTGTGTCAGGTGGGTGGAGTGTTGGGTCTCTCAAGTTGGGTCAGTGGCTGGTGTGTCATGTAGGTGGAGTGTTGGGTCTCTCAAGGTGGGTCAGTGGCTGGTGTGTCATGTGGGTGGAGTATTGGGTCTCTTAAGGTGGGTCAGTGGCTGGTGTGTCAGGTGGCTGCAGTGTTGGGTCTCTCAAGGTGGGTCAGTGGCTGGTGTGTCAGGTGGCTGCAGTGTTGGGTCTCTCAAGGTGGGTCAGTGGCTGGTGTGTCATGTGGGTGGAGTGTTGGGACTCTCAAGGTGAGCGAGTGGCTGGTGTGTCATGTGTGTGGAGTGTTGTGCCTCCCAAGATGAGCGAGTGGCTGGTGTGTCATGTGTGTGGATTGTCGGGTCTCTCAAGGTGGGTCAGTGGCTGATGTGTCATGTGTGTGGATTGTTGGGTCTCTCAAGGTGGGCCAGTAGCTGATGTGTCCGGTGGCTGCAGTGTTGGGTCTTCCAAGGTAAGCGAGTGGCTGGTGTGTCATGTGGGTGGAGTATTGGGTCTCTTAAGGTGGGTCAGTGGCTGGTGTGTCATGTGGCTGCAGTGTTGGGTCTCTCAAGGTGGGTCAGTGGCTGGTGTGTCATGTGGGTGGAGTATTGGGTCTCTTAAGGTGGGTCAGTGGCTGGTGTGTCAGGTGGCTGCAGTGTTGGGTCTCTCAAGGTGGGTCAGTGGCTGGTGTGTCACGTGGGTGGAGTATTGGGTCTCTTAAGGTGGGTCAGTGGCTGGTGTGTCACGTGGGTGGAGTATTGGGTCTCCCAAGGTGGGACAGTGGCTGGTTTATCTTGCCGGGTATCATTTGGCTAGGTGGATTGAGTGTCCCAAGGTGAGTGAATGGATGGTATGTCAGCCCGGGTATCATGATTCCTGGCTTCGAGGGTGGTGTGTTGGGTCTGAGCTGACATAAAGTGCAATGTAACACATCAGTATCACCAGAGGAAGTACACGTGTGTGTTTGATAGATATTCCTGGTGACCATGTCAAAAGAATATTTGAGAAAGCATGATGTTTCACCATTTACTATAATGAACATTGTGTTACTGGAGTCATGTCATCTTCCCAGGCAAGAGAGTTAACTGACTTTAAAAGTCCAGTTTCCACCCTTGCTGAACTAGGCTGGAATTCCTGGGCTCGATCGTAGCGCCACCAGTGGCTATTACAAGTTATGTCCTTCCATGCCTCTCCTATAGACCAATCAGATTCCACCTCTCGTATCACTTGCATTTGCTTCAAACAAAATGGTGGCACCCAGTCAAGACGATCTGATTGATAATCAAGGTCTATATTGTAATCTTACATTGCAAAGTGCATCAAATCACATGAGCACCTTGATTAAAAACATGAAAAGATTTGGAAAATATCTGTTGACGAGTTGGCGGTGCACATGCTTCACAAATCCTGCAATCCACCGAAATCTGCCTGACAGTTTACGAACAGGAGTTCAATTTCGTTGTGCGATTTTGATTGGACTATGCATAGACTTGTATATACCAGTCTAGTTCGGCAAGGGTGGAAACTGGACTTTTGTAGTCAGTTAACTCTCTTGCCTCGGGAAGATGGAGTCATGTATGCTTCTCAACATCCTGATGGTTTTAAAAACTGGGGGATGGAACGATCAGCTTGTCTGTCAGCCATCTGTTTTCCGTTTCCGGAGCAGAACTAGTAGGGAACTGGTGCCTTTTGATGATTTGGGATTTTTGTTCTTTTTATTTCGTTTTGTTTTAATGATTTTTCATATCGAAAACAAGTTGTTTTCCTTTACCGGAGCAGACACTTAGAACCATTAAATATTTCTTGTTGAAACTTGCTATACAGATACAGGGTAGGGGGATATGTCCAGCTTAGGAGTAATGGCAAGAGTAGGAGCTTGACATGTACTGTTGCCTTGTATTTGGTTTGTTTGTGACGTCTGTATGTTCTGTTACAGGTGATTAGGCAGCAGGTGCTTGAGTTCCTCAGCCCCGTCTCTGTTCCCCACGGCACCAACCTCCTCGGGGCCTTCGCTGTGGCCTGGAATGACAGAAGGAAGAAGCCTATCGGCGTTACAAAGAGGGTGAGAAAAAAGCTTACATGAGGCCTTACTGTTGCAAGAACATGATAACTATTAGTGTGTTATTACTATTTTTCAGACCCGTGAAGATCAGGGGTTAGAATAGGTCTTCAGGAACCCATGCTTGCCCTAAAAGGTGACTATGCCTGTCGTAAGAGGCAACTAACAGGATCGGATGGTTAGGCTCGCTGACTTGGTTGATGCATGTCATCGATTCCAACTGCATGGACTGATGATGATGATGTCTATCACTGGATTGTCTGGTCCAGACTTGATTATTTACAGACTGCCGTCATATAGTCTGAATATTGCTGAGTGCGGCATTAAACAACAAATAAATAAAAATCTATTTTTCACATTGTTTACTGTGTGATGAACCACAGCATCATCTGCTGTGGGACAGAATCAAGTTATTGTTTACTATGTGACGGAATCAGGACATTGCTTGCTGTATTGCAGGTGATCCCCCAGCCGTGTGAAGACCAGCTGTTGCTGGTGGAGCTTGTGGCTGCCATCAGAGTCCTTCCCACAGACACTCTCATACAGACCGTGAAGCAGGTTCTCAAACAGCCTCCCCCTGCCGAGCTGGGACAGGGCAAGGTGAGTCGCACCTGCAGCTTTCATATCTGTTCATGTGGATATCGATATAAGGATACTGGTTATGGTACTGGTGCTGATCTGATAATTTCTAAGCTTGGAGGGGTGGATTCCTTGATAAAAAAAAATATGAAATTTTGATTTTTTGACTTCCTGCTTGTTTGATCTTTGGTGGATACTTGTAGATGGGTCTGTCATATATGTTGATGGGATAAAGATAGGAAACACATCAGGAACACATCAGGATCACAAGAGGAAAGTTCATTAGTGTGGTTGATAAATATACCTGGTTGCCACATCAAAATAGCAAGAGAAATCATGGTCTTTGTTGTCAAAGTTGTGTCAAACATGCTTCCCTTTATTTAGCTTCTTTTTTTCTTTCCACCAGTATTTTCAAAACAAGCTTCTTAACTGAAATAAGCTATAAGGGCACTAAGGTCAATAATATGGTTCCGAATTATGAGACTTCCAACATCAGTGGGGAGATATCTTTTATGCTTATAATATTAATATTGGCGATTAATAGACATGGCCGAAGGATGTAATGATGTCCCAGCGTCTGTAGTTGTAACTATGTACCATCATCTGTGACCCAAGTAACGTGTGTGTTGCCGTTGTAACTATGTACCATCATCTGTGACCCAAGTAACATGTGTGTTGCCGTTGTAACTATGTACCATTATCTGTGACCCAAGTAACGTGTGTGTTGCCGTTGTAACTATGTACCATCATCTGTGACCCAAGTAACATGTGTGTTGCCGTTGTAACTATGTACCATTATCTGTGACCCAAGTAACGTGTGTGTTGCCGTTGTAACTATGTACCATCATCTGTGACCCAAGTAACATGTGTGTTGCCGTTGTAACTATGTACCATCATCTGTGACCCAAGTAACGTGTGTGTTGCCGTTGTAACTATGTACCATCATCTGTGACCCAAGTAACGTGTGTGTTGCCATTGTAACTATGTACCATCATCTGTGACCCAAGTAACGTGTGTGTTGCCGTTGTAACTATGTACCATCATCTGTGACCCAAGTAACATGTGTGTTGCCGTTGTAACTATGTACCATTATCTGTGACCCAAGTAACGTGTGTGTTGCCGTTGTAACTATGTACCATCATCTGTGACCCAAGTAACGTGTGTGTTGCCGTTGTAACTATGTACCATTATCTGTGACCCAAGTAACGTGTGTGTTGCCGTTGTAACTATGTACCATCATCTGTGACCCAAGTAACATGTGTGTTGCCGTTGTAACTATGTACCATCATCTGTGACCCAAGTAACGTGTGTGTTGCAGAAGGTGGTTCCCCTAGAAGTAAACATGCTGCAGTTCTTCTATGCCTACATCCAGCAGACCGGGTCAGTGGCGTTGTTGGACTCCTGGCCGTCCCTGCTGGGGCTGTTCAGGGAGGGGCTCCAGCTCAATCTGGTTCCCCCGGGCCAGTTCCTGCTACTCGAGTACGTTATTGCTTTGGACTCTCAACTTCAAGACATTTTTTTCATGACCCGTGATGATATGGGTTAGAATAGATCTTCAGCAATCCATGCTTGACGAAAGAGGCGACTAATGGGATCGGATGGTCAGGCTCGCTGACTTGATTGATGCACGTCATAGTATTCCAATTGCGTGGATTGATGCTCTTGATATATTGCTGAGTATTTATTTACACCAATGATAACTATAACGGTTTAGGTGTTTTCCATCTGAAAACATGTTTGGACATTTGCTTATATGGCCTGTCTGGTGTTAAGTCTCACTTTATGACGTCTTGTGGGTGTGCCAACAAATATCTTAAACACATAGAAACATTCACTCAGTTAATGTGCCTCTATTAGCTTTTGATTTACTTAAAGTGATGTTTTCACATTGTAAGAATATTTTAGAAGGAGATTGGGGAATATTCAAACAGTGTATTTTTTTGTTTATTTGTAAAGTTCGTTTGCTACACCTATCCCTGCTTTGGTTTGTGATGCTATTGCCATATGTTTGTGTGTAGGATCCTGAATGAGTTTGTACAGAAGACCCCAACAATGGATGAGAAGAAGAACCAGAAGGATCTACAGGAGATCACTCAGAAGGTTCTGGAAGCCGTGGGAACAATTGCTGGGTCATCACTGGAGCAGACGACGTGGTTGAGGCGGAATCTGGCTGTGAAGCCGGGACCTCAGGCGGACATTACAGAGGCTGAGGATGGCGAAGTGACAGAGGAGAGTGGTAGGTGTGACAGAGGAGAGATGTAAGTGTGACAGAGGAGAGTGGTGGGTGTGACAGAGGAGAGGGGTAGGTGTGACAGAGGAGAGATGTAAGTGTGACAGAGGAGAGTGGTGGGTGTGACTGAGGAGAGGGGTAGGTGTGACAGGAGAGAGGTGGGTGTGGCAGAGGAGAGTGGTGGGTGTGACAGAGGAGAGTGGTGGGTGTGACAGAGAAGAGTGGTGGGTGTGACAGAGGAGGGAGGTTGGTGTGACAGAGGAGAGTGGTGGGTGTGACAGAGAAGAGTGGTAGGTGTGACAGAGGAGAGTGGTGGGTGTGACAGAGGAGAGTGGTGGGTGTGACAGAGGAGAGAGGTTGGTGTGACAGAGGGACCAGAGAGTTGAGCAGCTGGGGTGTTAACAATATAGAAGTGAAGGTTGTATCTGTGACCGGTTGACCAGTGTGTTGAGGGACTGCGGTGTTGAGGGACTGCGGTGTTGAGGGACTGGGGTGTTGAGGGACCAGAATGTTGAGGGACTGGGGTGTTGAGGGACCAGAGAGTTGAGGGACCAGAGCGTTGAGGGACTGGGGTGTTGAGGGACCAGAGTGTTGAGGGACCAGAGTGTTGAGGGACTGGGGTGTTGAGGGACTGTGTGTTGAAGGACCGGGGTGTTGAGGGACTGGGGTGTTGAGGGACCAGAGTGTTGAGGGACCAGAGTGTTGAGGGACTGGGGTGTTGAGGGACTGTGTGTTGAAGGACCAGAATGTTGAGGGACTGGGGTGTTGAGGGACCAGAGAGTTGAGGGACCAGAGCGTTGAGGGACTGGGGTGTTGAGGGACCAGAGTGTTGAGGGACCAGAGTGTTGAGGGACTGGGGTGTTGAGGGACTGTGTGTTGAAGGACCGGGGTGTTGAGGGACTGGGGTGTTGAGGGACAAGAGAGTTGAGGGAATGGGGTTTTGAGGGACCAGGGTGTTGAAGGACCGGGGTGTTGAGGGACCAGAGTGTTGAGGGACCGGGGTGTTGAGGGCCTGGGGTGTTGACGTGTAGAAGTATAATGGTTGACATTGTCTTGTGCTAGATGTGGAGGTGATTGTTGCGGAGCGGAAGGTGGTGGAGAGTCAGCTGAACCAGGACCGGGATGCCAAGTACAGCGTGCAGGCTCTCTCCATCCTGGCCGAGGTGAGGAGGCAAATACATGACCCAGCTGTGCTCAACTAGGCAACACTGTCAATCTGATTTTTAGGGTGGCTAAAAATAGCTTTAACTGCGTCTGTTATGTTTTGTGACACCCTTTTGATGAGATTACTAAAGAACAAAGTTACTTTTGCAAGTGTTCGTTTAAGATAAGTAGGAAGCAGAGTGATGAAGAGGTAACGCTGTGTCAGTCAGTGTTTTTCAAACTATAGATTCATGTGGTGTTGTGTTAGACAAGGAAGGTTTACCTAACAGTAGTGTTATAAGGCAAGCATATCTCTTGACTACTCAGTGTTATGTGACCATTTTGATGAGATGTGTCAGGTCAGGTTTGTGAACTTTTCTGATCAGACTGTTGACACTGAGTGACAGTTTGTAATTAGTGTGATTAAGGAAACAGCATGTGAGGATTTGTTTGTCTGCAAAAAGAACTGCGTCATGAAACTATTGCAAGTGTGTGTCACTCACAGTTTTCTCAGTACTTTCCTGCTCGCCAAACTGTCCAGATGTACAATGATTACATAATCAGCCCTGTTGCACTGCCGCTGTCTCACGACAGACTGGATAAAATAACACATGGTTGCGTATGTTCTCAGGGAGTTCCCAGGAATCTTGTCCATGTCTGCTTACGATGTTCTAGAAGTAGGGAACTTTTTGTAAGATGGATACATGTATTTTCTGAATCCGTATGATTTATATGCTACTGTTTGAATTCAAAACTATGTGAACACTATTTGTTTCAGTTGACTGCAGCTTTGCTAGATGTCGTGTACGGCAGTGATGAGAAGGACAAGGTGGCTCCATTCCTCATCACCACCCTGACCAACGTGTTCCCCTACCTCCGCAACCACAGGTAACTGGTGATAAGGATGTATTATAGACTATCTAAACCACCTTGTACTGGAGAATGTATTTTCTCTTTCCCTTGATTAGATAACATATTTGCAACGTGATATGAACAATGTGTTGTTCACACCATTTATAGCTCCAGTGGTTCCCATGGCATCAAGGGGGCCCCATGGTTTGGTTTGTTGTTTAACGCCTCACTCAGCAATATTCCAGCTATATGACAGCGGCCTGTAAATAATCGAGTCTGACTGTTTGATACATGTATCTAATTATTTTAGCCAGGGCTGTGGTAAAACAATTACCAATCAGACATTTTGTTCCCTACTCTTGAGACTTGCAGTGGGTATCCTGGGTAGGGTCGGGTAATAGGGGGTCGGGTACCCGGGTAGTAAATTTGATCGTCCCAGCCCTACACCATAGCTAGCTTCAGTATAGCTAGACTATTGATACCACCTTACAGGTTTGATAGCAATAGACTTTGAGAATCATGTTTAGTATATTTTATCACATTTGCGTTTCTTCCTCTTTATAAGAAGAGATTCATGTTTAGTTCCCTGCATACTACAGTAAGGGAAATTCGCAGTTTAGTTAATTGTTTATATTCGACTGCGCAACAATTTCTTTATTGGCAGCTGCCACAACCTGCCGAGCTTCCGAGCGTGTTCGCAGATCCTGGCCAACATCAGCGGGTACCAGTACACCCGGAAGGCCTGGAGGAAGGAAGCTCTGGAGCTGTTGCTGGATCTCAGCTTCTTCCAGATGGACGTCAAGTGTATCAGCTTCTGGAGGACTGTCATCGACAACCTCATGACGCACGACAAAACCACGTTTAAAGATCTCATGGGTCAGTAGAAATAGGGTGTGTTTGATCATCGTTTTAAGACACATTGTTTTGGGCAGGCTCGGGCACCCAAGGCATCGTAATTTGCTGTGAAGAGTTAGCACATCCCTGAGGAGTGCTGGAAACATTAGGATCGTGGGTTTGAATCATGGTTCGCCATGATTATGATTCTAGGTTTGTCAGCACCAACACATGCACGTGTTGATAAATGTCAAAGACCTGCATCATGTCAGGCTTTTGTACCACATCAAACTGAAATACTGGTCAAAGAAATATAAAGCACAACTCACTCTCTATTCTCCATAATGTTCAAAATATGAACCAATTCTTTAAGTCCACTCAAGATCCAATGTTCACAAGACTTATGTTTAAAACAATATGGATGCTAGTGAATAGTTCTAAATGAATACAGTCTGTTCCAAACTCTTGGCTCTTGGCTCTTGGCTCTTAACATCATTTCTTATCCATCTTGGTGCTATCATATGGACTATTGTTAGCTGAGCTTACCTAACTTGAATTTTGCTAGACTCGGGCATCAGACTATTGGCTACTGTCACTGACTGTGAAAGTTATGGAATGAAATATTGCTTTTTTTTGTTAATTTTGTAATGATGGACTGCAGGACGTGTGGCAATGACCCAGAGTGGATCTCTGAACCTGTTCAGCAGCAAAGAACAAGAGTACGAGCAGAGAGCTCAGATGTTGAAGCGGCTGTCGTTTGCCATCTTCTGTAGTGAAGCCGACCAGTACCAGAGAAACATGCCCGACATTCAGGGTGAGTTGGGAGCGGAGGGAAGGTGGTGCAGATGTCATTTGGAGAGGGGATGTTGGGAGTAGTTGACAGGGTTTGGGCAATGTTGAGGGATTGTGGGATGTTGGGAGAAGTTGACAGGGTTTGGGCAATGTTCAGGGATTGTGGGATGTTGGGAGAAGTTGACAGGGTTTGGGCAATGTTCAGGGAGAGGAGGATGTTGGGAGAAGTTGACAGGGTTTGGGCAATGTTCAGGGATTGTGGGATGTTGGGAGTAGTTGACAGGGTTTGGGCAATGTTCAGGGAGAGGGGGATGTTGGGAGAAGTTGACAGGGTTTGGGCAATGTTCCGGGAGTATACGATGTTGGGAGAAGTTGACAGGGTTTGGGCAATGTTGAGCGAGAGGGGGGGAAGTTGGGAGAAGTTGACAGGGTTTGGGCAATGTTCCGGGAGTAAACGATGTTGGGAGAAGTTGACAGGGTTTGGGCAATGTTGAGCGAGAGGGGGGGAAGTTGGGAGAAGTTGACAGGGTTTGGGCAATGTTGAGGGAGAGGGGGATGTTGGGAGTAGTTCACAGGGTTTGGGCAATGTTGAGGGATTGTGCGATGTTGGGAGAAATTGACAGGCTTTGGGCAATGTTCAGGGAGAGGGGGGGATGTTGGGAGAAGTTGACAGGGTTTGGGCAATGTTCAGGGAGAAGGGGATGTTGGGAGAAGTTGACAGGGCTTGGGCAATGATAAGGGAGAGGATGATGTTGGGAGAAGTTGACAGGGTTTGGGCAATGTTGAGGGAGAGGGGGATGTTGGGAGAAGTTGACAGGGTTTGGGCAATGTTGAGGGAGAGGGGGATGTTGGGAGAAGTTGACAGGGTTTGGGCAATGTTCCGGGAGTATACGATGTTGGGAGAATTTGACAGGGTTTGGGCAATGTGCCGGGATTGTGGGATGTTGGGAGAAGTTGACAGGGTTTGGGCAATGTTGAGGGAGAGGGGGATGTTGGGAGAAGTTGACAGGCTTTGGGCAATGTTGAGGGATTGTGCGATGTTGGGAGAAGTTGACAGGGTTTGGGCAATGTTAAGGGAGAGGGTGATGTTGGGAGAGGTTGACAGGCTTTTGGCAATGTTGAGGGAGAAGGGGATGTTGGGAGAAGTTGACAGGGTTTGGGCAATGTTCAGGGGTTGTGGGATGTTGGGAGAAGTTGCCAGGCTTTGGGCAATGTTTTGGGGGTTGTGCGATGTTGGGAGAAGTTGACAGGCTTTGGGCAATGTTGAGGGATTGTGCGATGTTGGGAGAAGTTGACAGGCTTTGGGCAATGTTGAGGGATTGTGCGATGTTGGGAGAAGTTGACAGGCTTTGGGCAATGTTTGGGGGTTGTGGGATGTTGGCATACCAATGTTGGTGGTTGTAGATAGTGTTCACTGTTGAAGGTAAGGAGGGTTGGGGGAGAAGGGGTGACTGGGGTATTTTGAGGGTGATGCTGAACGCATCAATAGGCCACAGGATTGGGTGGGGGAGAGGATGCTCATATGAATGAGGAGGGGAGGGATGTTGAAGAGGGGGTGATTATAAGGTGAGCATCGTTAAAGGGATGTCTCGGGTAGGTGGACAAGACAGGTTTCACATAGATATGGGTGTTATTGATAAAGGCCCAGTATTAAACTCCTGTCATTCAACTGCTTAAAACTTCGTCAAATCTCTATTCTACACTGTTGTTCTTCAGAACGTCTAGCAGAGAGTCTGCGACTGACCCAGGTGCCGTCCGTGATGACCCAGGTCTTCCTGTGTTTCCGGGTCCTCATCCTGCGCATGTCTCACCAGCATCTGACGTCTCTCTGGCCGACGATCATCACAGAAATGGTAGGGGAGGTCTCGCTTGATGTGTTGTTGCCATGTCTCAGGTTTAATGTGAAGAGATACAGTGATTCAGATTATCTTACTTGACCTTTTTCCATTAAATATGAAAATAATTGATTCTATGAAAAATGGAATTTGTCGTTTTCTCTTGTCAAATACCATGTCTACCTTTCATGCATTGCTGCCTTTCTGATGAATATAAACAACAAACAAACAATGCATTAAGCAGGTCATTGACCTTAAGCATTTCAGTGAACCCTATAAGCCAATGATCATAATCGTTACTAATTATACCCCTGACCTTTTAGGTTGAGGGTATAAAGTTATACCAAGGTTCCGTCCGTCCATCTGAAAACTTTGTCCGCACGAATTCTCTTAAACTATTCAGTGGATTCATCTCAAACTTAGTACATATAATCTGTGTCATATGGAGGGGTACAGTCAAAAGAAAAAAATTGTTTTTATTAATTTTCCATTTTTTTATGAATTTTTCAAACCCTAACCCGATCCATTATTTAATTTGAAACTACTGACACACTAGGCAGGTTGGGGGTATTAGTGAGCCACACTCACTTTTGCCCTTGTTTGTGGTTGGTACCATATCTAGGAGACTCCAGCAGTTACGGGTGTCACTCATTCAAACAAGCTGTATCACCTTGGACAATGTGAGCCATCCAAGTCCGTATATTTTGTATGTATTATCCAGGATGTTATATGAGATTTAAAGGGGACGTTTACCTTGTGTTGATCAGTACAGGGAAAATTTTACTGTGTGTCGTAGTGTCACTATATCAAAATGAGAGAGATAGCCTTGACTGACAGTGTCCGTTGCTATGGTTACAGGTGCACGTCTTCCTCCAGATAGAGCAGGAGTTGTCCACAGATTCGGATGAATTCAAGTAAGTATTCCCCTGGGACAATGCATCGCTACTGGTTGTGGGGTGTGAGTTTGCTGCACTGTTACTGGGTTACAAATATCTCTTGGTAGGCTTAGGCCGTGGGGCAAGATCAGAGGTTTTTGAAGAAATTAATCTCGATGGGTTTGATACTTACAGATGTGCAAGACTACATGTCAAAGAGGCACATTATCTGGGTGCAGGACCTTGTTTCCTTAATAAGGCCTCAAAGTTGCGACTAAAACAGTTGCCAATGCGGCCTTAATTTCAGTTTGTCTACTGTCTAAAATTCAGAGGTAGCCAAATGACTCCCTTGAAAAGTATCTTGTGGCAACTAAATTCTATTGCTACACACCTGTAGACACAAAAATAAATAACAGCTGATTTTGGAAAACCTGTCTGCTGATAATTGTACTCCCCAGGAGGCATACAAGTATTGATTCTTGAAGACAAATTTGTCAATATGACATGTGTAACACCCTTCCCTGGGAAATCCAAACAGTTATAATAGTTATTTCTTTATAACATTAAATGGCAATCTGTCCACACACATAAAGGTGATGCAGTGCACAGACTGCTTGGAACCTGTCTACATAAGTCTTCACTGGAGCTGGGGACAAATTTGTTATGATCTCATAAGGAAAAGAAATATTTTGGTCAATTGTGTATACAAAAATGTGAAGTCAAGATTTTCGCGCTTGTCAGTATTTGAATATGGGTGTGTTTCATGTTATGGTATCATATTTTCAAAGAGTTTGCAAGTAGGTGAGGCTTTGATAGACAAATAGACAAACTAGTAGAATATTGAAAAAGTAAATTAAGTGCAGATCTGATCTTGTTCCGGTAAAAGTGATGTGATATGAAGATTAAGACATAACTCTAACACATATGACTAAACTGTTGTGTAGTTGTTGAATAATTTACTCTATAACTGTACGGAACAAAAAAAGTTAGTGATCATGAATATTTTTGGGGATATATTTTGGGTAGTGAAATCTAAGCACACAATGTAACAAATATCTCCCCCCCCCCAAAAAAAATATATATTCATGATCCCTAACTTCCTTTGTTCAGTATAAAACTTGGTCAGATAGATATTAACTGGATTGTCCTGCTTTGCATACTTAGTACATAGATCGGAATAATATTACTTTTTGAAAGTTTGTTTCAATATCTCTATATGAAAAATTGCCCAAACGTTTCTGTTCTTTGAGACCAATTTAAGGTCAAATCTATTGCATGAGGGTTTTTTAGTATAATTCTTGTTTATATTTTTCACTAAATATCTCAGTCTCTTTGATTTTCTTTTAATGATATTTTTTTTTTATAAGCAGTTTTGACAGACATTTTGAGTTCTTATTAAATCTTTTGATTGACATGTTTTGTTACACAGGGGTGTGGAAACTTTGTTTATTACAAACACAAACCAAAAACCTACATCATCATGGAGGTTTGTTTTGAAAGGATGTTTTTTTGTGGGACTTTCAGCAGTGCATTAGTGGATATCAGTGCTTGTAGACTGTCCAGGTGGAATTTGAGTCGAAGTATTTGATTTAAAAAAAATATTCCCTGTTCCCATTCCACAAAAACTGACTATCAAAGAGAAAAAAAGGATGATTTCAGATTGAACTGATAACTTAAGTGAATGTTATTTTTTTTGTTTTGGAGCCTGTTAGAATTAAAATTTGTATAAATATGATAAAAAGAATTACTGTATTCGACATAATAAGCGCCCACGGCGATATTTGCTAATGTATTCGCTAGTGAACAATCCCAATTAGCACACCTTCCAATTGATCAATGTACACAAGACTTATTTATTCGCGCATAATATGTGTGTTATATGCATCCTTAATCACAGGAAATTAAATTCTGGAAAAATATATCTGTCGTATATAAACATTTCAGGCTGTCAGCAAAAACCACGAAATTAACGATCTTTCAACTCTGTTGTTTTTCACCCAAATAATATTCTAATAAGAGCCCCCTATTTCTAATTTTGAGAGCGCCCTGGGCGCTAATTGTGTCGAATACGGTATACAATTTTTTTAAGATATTATACAAGTTTAAAAGTATCTGATGATATCAAGCCTGAATGCACTGCTAGCTAGTCTTTCTGAGAGTCCCGTTTCCCTAGACACATCCACCTCTGTGCCTGACCCTAGACAAGGCTTGTGGCAATGACACTAGTACTACTAACAGCACCCTTCTATAGAAACAGACTTTTAACATAGGATCACCTGCTTGTCTTGTACTGTTATACATACAGTTTTGCAGTATCTCTCTCAGCATATTTGAAAACAACTAACCAGGTTTTCTGTTACCCAGGGCTCTTAATAATTTTGGAGAAGTAATATTCTTATCTTCAAAGAATTTTCTTGCAGAGAATCATTCTGTCATATTCACTGCATACTTTTGAGAATTGTATTATCATTGAATACTTGTCTGGCTTCTTGAAGCTTGAAGGAGGAATTGAATAAATAAGTGGTGCCAGTTTTTACAAATTTACCGTTATGGTGTGTTTGTGTGATTTTGCATATAACTGTGCGTGTGGCTAGTTCCGACTTGTTTGTTTGGCAATGAGAAATGGCTTGGCATATTGCTACCAGCTTCATGTACAATATGACATGGCAATGGGAATGAAGCTCATGGTTTGCCATCGTATTTTGTTTCTCTGGTCAGCCAGCAGTATGTGTCGGTGTGTGGCAGTGAGGAGGAGATGTTGGTGGCTCACAAGATCAGTGTTCTGAGTTGTATGTGACAGATAGAAACAGTGTCTGGCTCAGTCTGGATGTATGGCTCATGTGGAATCCTTGTAAGCGGCTGGAGTTTGGGACTAACAATGAGCAAAGATGTAGGCAGGTGGCAGTGGTTGTTCTTAAGTTGTTGAAGCGGTTTTGTTTGTTTGTTTGTTTTTAACGCTGCACTCAGCAATATTCCGGCTATATGATAGCTGTCTGTAAATAATCGAGTCTGGACCAGACAATCCAGTGATTGACCTTATGAGCATTGATCCACGCAATTGGGATACAATGACATGCATCAACCAAGTCAGCGAGCCTGACCACCTGATCCCCTTAGATGCCTCTTACGACAAGCAAAGTCGCCTTTTATGGCAAGCATGGGTTGCTGAAGACCTATTCTACCCCGGATCTTCATGGGTCTACAGACCTGGGTGATATTTCTGTACAGATCTGGGTGATATTGCTGTACAGATCTGGGTGATATTGCTGTACAGATCTGGGTGATATTGCTTACAGACCTGGATGATATTGATGTACAGTCCTGGGTGATATTGCTGTACAGACCTGGGTGATATTGCTGTACAGATCTGGGTGATATTGCTGTACAGATCTAGGTGATATTGCTTACAGACCTGGATGATATTGATGTACAGTCCTGGGTGATATTGCTGTACAGACCTGGGTGATATTGCTGTACAGATCTGGGTGATATTGCTGTACAGACCTGGATGATATTGCTGTACATGTCTATGTGCTATTGCTGGAATGTACAGGTCTGGGTGATATGCAATGAATTATCCCGACCTACCTAGATGACATTTGGCCGTAAGTCTGCACCAGGTGTCAGTGAATATGCCCAAAATTGTACTTAATAGTTTCCCAAGTCATGTTATTATAGTTATCACACTAATGTTATGGCTTTGCAGAGGTGGCTTCTTTTCCAATGATAACAGGACCAACAAAGGGAACAAGTTTTAGTTTTACATTATTTCATTGTATGCAATATTAAAATACCTTCTGGATCTCAGAGAATAGTAACAAATACACCACAGTTTTGAACAAAATAGCTGTTTTCCCAATTTGACTGCCAAAGATACTACTGGTAATTTGGAATTGGAGCTAACTCCCTGGATGTGGATGATATTGCTGCGTGCCTCTTTATGATGTTGGGGGCGGTCAGGTAGCCTAGTGGTTAAAGCGTTCGCTCGTCACGCCGAAGACCCGGGTTCGATTCCCGACATGGGTACAATGTGTGAAGCCCATTTGTTGTGTCCCCCGCGGTGATATTGCTGGAATATTGCTAAAAGCGGCGTAAAACCATACTCACTCACTCTCTCACTTTATGTTGAATAAAATGTGTTTACAATGTGCAGATTGTTTGTGCCATGCTCATTATACATGTATTTGATTACATGCTTGTGTGTGTGTGTGTGTTTGTTGCTTAACAACACCCACAGCAATATTCCAGCTATATGGTGGCAGTCTGTAAATAATGAAGTCTGGACCAGACAATCCAGTGATTTACATCATGAACTTTGATCTACGCATTTAGGATGTGATGACATGCATCATTAAGTCAGCAAGCCTGACCACCAATTCCGGTTGTTGCCTCTTACGACAAGTTGATTAAGTTATTTAGAAAATAATAATCCCAATTGTTCTTTTAAAAAACATTTTCAATGAATAAGCTATAATGACAATGAATAAGTCTGAATCTATTTCACCATGTTCATTAGCTCCGACAAGACAAGGCAAGTAGACATATATGTACTGGCATTGGGCCTCATGACCCACAGGATTAGTTTTCACACAGTCTCTACCGGAAACTGACCTTCTGATCTGGTCAGGACCACAGTCCCTCTATGTGCATGTGTGATGGGTGGAAGCTGGTGACACAGTCTCATTCAAATCCGATCTCTCACTCTGGTCCGATACCTCTATCAATAAACATTTGAGGAATCCTCAGTAGGAGGTTACATAAGGTGAACGTTCTAATCAGTTGCCATTGCTTCGAAATGTAAGTACGAGTGAGTCAAACATTCGGAGCAAAATATCTGATTTCAGTTCTTCAAAATGGACGTAAACAGGCAGTTCCACATGGCGAATAATAATGGCTTTGATACTTTTGTCTTTTGAGTGCCATGACATATGCATCCAAATAGGTGTGCTTTTGTCAAATTGACAATGGTGTGAGATGTTCAAATCAGGGTAAAAGATGTGATTTGGATGAGATTGTCTATTTAGAAATGACCTATGGCGATGGAAGCACCCTTATTTTCCTCGAGGTTACTGTACACAAGAACAGGAACCACCAAACAAATGCTTTTGATGTGAACAGATGTCCCAAGGGATTCCCAATACCTGCTAATGCTTGTGCTACTTTCCTGGGAATTTAAAATTCCATTATATTTCCGAATTTTAGGCCAAACAATTCTATTCTTGTTTTATTGATTTCCATTGTCAGTGCCCAAAACAGGAGGCAAAATATCTTTAAAAAATCAGTTTCGAAAGGTTGATTCACATTTCCTTTTATAATTCCCTTGAAACAACATTTAAACAACTACAAGAAAAGATGTCCAAGAAAGTATTTTTTGGCTCAAACACAGCCTTTTATTTCTTGCAAATTTTAGCATAGGTTATTCAGTAAAACAAGATGATTGGTGTGGCCTTCTCAAGAATATAGTTACACGCTGTGACATGAGTTTGAAATTGTGAACACTTGTGTCTGAATACTCCCCGAGAACTTCAGATTGATGCCTCATTCCTGCTTCGGAAGGTCGGTACATGGTTGCTGGCAAGGTGATGTTTTGCGTCACGGTCTGTGTCTTCATTCCACGGATGTTACTTTGGAGGACTTGTGGATTATGGCAGGCATACGACAAACAATGTTTAGGATGCATGGAACAATTAAGAATTTGAATGTGTATGACATCCAATATGTAAGAACCTGCCGATGATGACGTGTATGTTCTCATCTTTCAACAGTAACTATATTCGGGCCTGCTCCAGGTATAGTCTGAGATTCTACAGACCTTTCTTCATCTTAACTCTGTTATTGTCAACATTGCAGTCTAGTGGTAGAAAAAGACATATTTTTTCTGTTGTGCATCATTTTTAGTGGTTTCATTTTATGTTTTCAGTTCTCTTTTGTTTTCTGTCTTGTGAACTGTTGGATGACCCTTTGAGTTGAAATTCATGAATGTTTTTTATGACATGTCTTCATTCATATATCGTGTTAGATATTTATGGTTTAAAAGATTTTGATAATTGAACGCTATATAACAATAATTTTGATGACATGATGTAATGGCAAGATTATGTAATTGTTATATTGAGATGTGATTACTGAGATTTGATTGTAATGAAGGAATAGTAAGATAGTTCGTTGATGTATGAAGCTCAACTTTTGATAAGGTGACTGAGAATCTTAACTGATGTTACAACAATGAAGGACAACTTATTGAATTGTGAATTAACTTGAAATGAAGGACTGCATGCTTCCGTACCTTGGCAGTATTCTATGACAATATCTCCAAGTTCTCAGTCACATTCAGTCTCGAGATGGACACTCAGAATATCTCAGATATCATATATATGTGTACCCTTTGGAGTTTACCGTGACAGTGACGTGTTATAAACTGCATTTTTGGGCATCGATGGCCCAGTTGTCTGAGGTGCCGCCATTCGCTGTGCAGAGTTGCGTCCCTGGGCACGCCAGAAACCCATGATTGTGGGTTCGAATCCCGGTTCGCCCCAATTATGTTTCTAGGTTTGTCAGCACCATACCCGTGCTCGTGGGTTTCACCGAAATGGTAAATGTTTGAGACCTGCATCACTTTGGGCTTTCCTCCCACATTAAGCTGACATGCGGCGATATAACTGGAATACTGTTAAAGGTGGTGTTAAACCCAACTCACTCACTATTAACTGTATTTGAGCAGAGATGTCTGGATAAGTGAGGTGTATAAAGGTATCATATGATAATGGTGGCCTATCTAAATCTTAGCTTACAACTGAACCAAATTCATAAAAGACCATTATGGTATAATTTTCATGTATCCCCTAGAATATTCAGCATTTTGACAAATAAGAGTAAGGTAGATATTGAATAGGTTGAACCACAGATGTTTATGATTAATGCAAAGCTTCCTGCATTGCTCATTTTGAGTGGACATGTATTAATTTGGTAGTTATATTTGATTTGAAATTATTGTCTGCTTTTTTAAGTTGTTTTTAGATGCTAACTCAGGCCATTCTAAGTAAGGATAAGACATATGGATGAACAACTTCTTTATTACAATTAGGAGTGACATTCTGGTAGGTTCTAACACAGTTTTCAAGCAAGTGATAACGATGTTAGAACATACCCCAAAACGTCGCTCCTAATTGTAATAAAGAAGTTGTTCATCTATATACCTTATCCTTACTTAGAACTCCAACTTCTAAATGCCTCTCAAAGACGTTATGTCATTCTGTTTTCGAAAAAAAACTTTTCATGAACTTATATTTCAGGGCATAAAGTTATATTAAATTTCGAAGTGAGATTTGTTGTTTAATTTGTGTGACATTTCCCTCAGTGTAATATTAAATCCATAACAAGTAAAACACATAAACGTTTGCAATTTATGTAATCTAACCTTACGAGTATTTAGCCACCATCATGAAAACCATCAAATAATCACTCTGTTCACATGATCCTGTACATGTTGTTTGGGAATGTTGTTTTGGGAATGTTGTTCGATTTATTTCTTGGGAATGCCATTGATCTGTGAATGCTCTTTGTTGTTTCTCCAGTTTTGTTAAGTCCAGGTATGTTGCAAGCTTCTTCTCATAACCTCGTGAAATGTGTGTTGTCGATATTGCTGTTTTCACTCATCAAGTATGCATGTCATGCCTGTTGAGATTGCGTGATGTGTCTCAGTCAATCACTAAGACTTGCCCATGCACCCATCAGACTGATTTATTACATTGTTAACCGTTATAACCAGTTAAGTTAACCATTATGCTGAATCAGGTAACTAGTTAATGCCTATAATACCAACCCTTCAGCCTTTATCGCATGCAACACCAAGATGTATATTTCAGCACATGCCTTTTTCTACCATTTGTTTATGATTTTGAAATATTTTTATGACACAATTATGTTCAGACTTTATGAGATAATTGATATATTGAATATAGATGTGTATCATTTAGTATGGTGCAACTTGGTCATGTTTATCATGTTTATCATGTTTATCACAACACATTGGTAATGGTTAACGATTTTCTATGTATCATTATCATCTGTCGTATATCGATCGATATCAGTTTCACATGTCATGTTTTCTTATTGATGAGGCCCGTGAAGATCCGGGGTAGAATAGGTCTTCAGCAACCCATGTTTGCTGTAAGAGGCGACTAACTGGATCCGGTGGTCAGACTCGCTGACTTGGTTGATGCATGTCATCGTATCCCAATTGCGTTGAACGATGCTCATAATGTCAATCACTGGATTGACTGGTCCAGACTTGATTATTTACAGACCACCGTCATATAGCTGGAATATTGCTGATTGCGGCGTTAAACATCAAACAAACAAATCTTACTGATGAGCATTACCCCATAGATGTGTTGTCATAGAAACATAGGATGCAGTAGCAATCATCCTCCACACTGACTAGCTTGTACAGCAGCTTCAATAATTATCCTACACCATCTTCACACTTTGACCTTTGAACTGCAGTGTAGTACTTTAACTTTGTGTCAAGATTAACCAGTTAACCAGCAATAAGGCAGGAAAAGCTGTCTGTTACTCTTCACCCTAGTCATTTCCTGACTCTTGTGTTTAATCCTGCTTTTCAAATATTCCTTCATAGCAAGGGCAGATAACTCTTAACAGATTTCATTGAAAATATTAATAGTATCAATGAAAGATATATCTTCGTTTACTTTTATTTTTTTTAAATATATTTGAACAGAACACAAAAAAGTTACTGATTTTGATCAAACTAATTTTGTACCTTTTATTTCTCCAAACTATTTGTTACCCATGATTTGAATAATATTGAGGAAAGGTTGAAAAATGTTACTTTTTAGTTCATTTGTAGTGTTGATATTAGATAGACATGTAAAAATGATAAAAATATATAAATATGTTATAAATATGAAAAAAATGTGATAAAAATGTTATTGTGTTACAAAAACAACAATTATGAGATGCCAAACCACAATGTTTTCTTCAGTTGCAACTCACAATAATATAATACTCACACAATTAGAATCTCCTAGTGTATAAGTATTGGTTGAGAGTAAGTACACAGTTAGTTAGAAGGCTTGTGTGTTGACTGTAGATGTTGTGACTGACTGACAACCCTTGTATCTCTAGGACCCAGCTCCAGCGTATTGCAGCCCTTGACTCCAGCTGGGCACACCTCGGCAACGGCCTGAACGCCCACAACAACCCTGCCTGGTTGCAGCTGTACCTTAGTGTCTGCAAGCTGCTCGACCTGTGTCTGGCCCTGCCTGCAGACACCGTGCCTCAGTTCCAGCTGTGAGTATTGTCATCAAGATATGCGTATAGACCATCTTAGCCTCAGTTCCAGCTGTGAGTGTTGTCATCAAGATATGCATATAGACCATCTTAGCCTCAGTTCCAGCTGTGAGTGTTGTCATCAAGATATGCGTATAGACCATCTTAGCCTCAGTTCCAGCTGTGAGTGTTGTCATCAAGATATGCGTATAGACCATCTTAGCCTCAGTTCCAGCTGTGAGTGTTGTCATCAAGATATGCGTATAGACCATCTTAGCCTCAGTTCCAGCTGTGAGAGTTGTCATCAAGATATGCGTATAGACCATCGTGGCCTCAGCTCCGTCTGTGAGTAGTGACATCAAGATATATGACCATGTGGTGTACTCCCAGAGTTGGGTTGACAATGTGGTGTACTGCCAGATTTGGGTTGACAATGTGGTGTACTCCCAGAGTTGGGTTGACAATGTGGTGTACTCCCAGAGTTGGGTTGACAATGTGGTGTACTCCCAGAGTTGGGTTGACAATGTGGTGTACTCCCAGAGTTGGGTTGACAATGTGGTGTACTCCCAGAGTTGGGTTGACAATGTGGTGTACTCCCAGAGTTGGGTTGACAATGTGGTGTACTCCCAGAGTTGGGTTGACAATGTGGTGTACTGCCAGAGTTGGGTTGACAATGTGGTGTACTCCAAAAGAGTTGGGTTGACAATGTGGTGTACTCCCAGAGTTGGGTTGACAATGTGGTGTACTGCCAGAGTTGAGTTGACCATGTGGTGTACTCCCAGAGTTGGGTTGACAATGTGGTGTACTGCCAGAGTTGGGTTGACAATGTGGTGTACTCCCAGAGTTGGGTTGACAATGTGGTGTACTGCCAGAGTTGGGTTGACAATGTGGTGTACTGCCAGAGTTGAGTTGACCATGTGGTGTACTCCCAGAGTTGGGTTGACAATGTGGTGTACTGCCAGAGTTGGGTTGACAATGTGGTGTACTGCCAGAGTTGGGTTGACAATGTGGTGTACTGCCAGAGTTGGGTTGACAATGTGGTGTACTCCCAGAGTTGGGTTGACAATGTGGTGTACTGCCAGAGTTGGGTTGACAATGTGGTGTACTGCCAGAGTTGGGTTGACAATGTGGTGTACTGCCAGAGTTGGGTTGACAATGTGGTGTACTGCCAGAGTTGGGTTGACAATGTGGTGTACTGCCAGATTTGGGTTGACAATGGGGTGTACCGTATTTTCTTGAGTATAGTGTGCACACATGTATAATGCGCATCCCCCCTCTAGCGGATTCAGTATTTAGGAGAAAAAAAATTCGAATGTCAAGCGCAGAAAAAAGTTACACGGTAGATCTACCCCTTCAGCGAATTCCGGTAAACGAACGGGTGATGAGAAACTTGGTCAGTACAAATTCGAAATTTGAGATAAAAAATCACCAGACATGTTTATTTTCCGTTTAAATTGTATTTATTTGTTCTGCTAGGCATTGTTTTGCATCCAGGGATTAAGATTACATTGTGTATTTTCTCGTAAACTAAGCCGGAAACAGCAATTGGCTGTACACACGTTTTCATGGAATCTACCGGTGATTCGGTCAAGACACACCCAATGATATAACTTTACAGGATTTTAATGCAAGGATCGGCAAAAATTGCATCTGAAACTATTTTTTTATAAGGAATAATATATCCCAATATCTTGTTAATTTAGTTGCAGCTTTTACTGAACATATTTTAAATAATAACAACCCTAAGCGAAGCAGCTGATCGCTATTGCCAGTTATAATTTTCACATGGAACCAGTCTGACCAGTCACCGTCAAGACGCTCGCGCACGTGATCGCGAGAACTACGTGTTGACATAGAATCGTCAAACTATAACAAATATGACTTTTAACGGGTCAAAGTATGGCATTTATGATATATGTATCCATTCTCTGTCAACTATAATGTTCGTTTCAAGGCGTCAATAGTGGTAATCTGACTGTGGTTGCTGTTAATAACAGTGAGTTGTGCAACCTTCCGATCGCTTATTTAAAACAATATTAAAAGGAATTTTAAATAAAATTAATGAAATAAGTTACATACATAAGTCCAGATATACAAAGAACACTTTTTATAGCCAGACAGTGTAATTACATGATTAATTTGCGTACTTCAGTATGGATTTGTTGACATGGGATTTCAGGTGTTACGTGCTCACGGTAATATCTTTCCATGGGGGAAAAAAACATCAAAACTCATTATTTCGTGTCTAATGCGCACCCCCTTCTACACAGCTGTGTTTTTTGGAATAAAAGTGCGCACTATACTCAAGAAAATACGGTACTGCTGGAGCTGAGTTGACCATGTGGTGTACTGCCAGAGTTGAGTTGACCATGTGGTGTACTGCCGGAGTGAGTTGACCATGTGGTGTACTGCCAGAGTACAGTTGACCATGTGGTGTACTGCCAGAGTACAGTTGACCATGTGGTGTACTGCCAGAGTGAGTTGACCATGTGGTGTACTGCCAGAGTACAGTTGACCATGTGGTGTACTGCCAGAGTACAGTTGACCATGTGGTGTACTGCCAGAGTACAGTTGACCATGTGGTGTACTGCCAAAGTTGAGTTGACCATGTGGTGTTGTAGGTACCGGTGGGCGTTTATTGGAGCAGCTGGAGGGGAAGACAAGGAAGTGATCAAAGACAAGCGTGTCCAACGACCCTGCTTTGTGCCACATGTTGTCAGACTCTCCAAACTACTCAATACCAGGGTAAGCAGCACTCACACTGTCCTCGAGGGACTCTGACCACTAAATGACAGTTTTCGTTGCCTTTTGGTTATTTAACGCCTCATCCATCAATATTCCACCTATATGATTGTGACGTGTAAATATTCAACCTGTGAAGATCCGGGCTAGAATAGGTCTTCTGCAACCCATGTTTGTCGCAAGAGACGACTATGCTTGTCGTAAGAGGCGACTAACTGGATCGGGTGGTTGCTGATTTGGTTGATGCATGTCATCGTATCCCAATTACATGGATTGATGCTCATGATGCCAAAGACTGGATAGTCTTGTCCAGACTGGATTATTTCCAGACCACCATCATATAGCTGGAATATAGCTGAGTGCTGCGTTAAAAAACAAGACACAAACAAACAAATATTCGAGTCTGGACCAGACAAACGAGTGATTGATACTTTGAGCAAAGTACCACACTGTCGGGGTATGATGACATGCAATCAACATGTCCTCAGACCTGCCACCCCATCCACTTGGTTGCCTTCTACAACAAGCATTGTTTGCTTGGCCTATTTTCTAACCAGGACGACCGCCTCAATGGTCTAGTGGTAGAGCATCCACATGGAGAGCGGAAGGTTGGGGGTTCGATTCCCAGATGTGTCATACCAAAAGACGTATAAAATGGTACTTGTTGTTACTGCTGCATGGCATCTCTGTGGGCTGGAACTGTAAAATCGGCACCAGTCCGGACTAGTATAAGTAGCCACACATGCATGCTCGTTGCTATATAAGTGCAATAATCTTTTATGCAATGTTAAAACCCATTTCACCTCACCTCACCTCACCTCACCTCACCTCACCTCACCTCACCTCACCTCACCTCACCTCACCTCCTTGAATTCCCAACAGCATCTGTAAATAACCACTTACCTGGTACTCTACCCAAATATGTTTCCTCTTTGGGGTGTCGGGGTCCATATGGAGCTAATGTTTATCGGGGGAGTTGACTAATGTGGGGATTGGGTTGTTCGTGTCTTTCATTGGCTCATAGTGTTTATGTACTTCCAAGGTGTTGAACATTATTCATGCTATCAGTCATTAGTTAGCTTGTCCCAGAGTTGATTGTTGACATGTCGTTATGACATAGCTGGAATACTGCTGTGAACAAACATACAAACAAACCAAATCAGTTACATTAAATATGTGTTGCGTTGACAGATGATATATTTATCTCCCTCTATTTCAGCTTTCTGGAAATAATCCCATACTGAAGCAGGTACCAGGTCGACCTCTCTTGACCTTCACTGTCCTGCGTTCATTGGTTGAACTCCAACCTTTCTTCAACACACTCTGCAGCATCAACCAATCAGAACCAGATCATTCAAGAAGCAGCCAATCACGTAGCAGGACACTACCAAAGTCCAAATCTGCTCCTGTCAGTGTGCTGGAGGATTCTACAGGCCTCCCCATCCCAGCACTCCCTTCTAGTGTTCATCCCAAATCAAACAAACAGTTCATTGAAGAGCTAGTCGAAAGAGATTTCTTGGAGTTCCTGTCTCAATGATTAAGTACCAGGATATTTAGACAATCTCTGTCTTTGACCAATACTAACATTGATGATACCCATGTCATTTGCCTTGTCTGTTAGGCTAGGTAACTTTGGTCTTGACCTCTGTACAACACAAAGAAATAGTTAAGCCGGTATACTAAATGGCTTTGGGTGCTGACTAATTTTCATCTGTTGGTTTTAGAAAAGGATGCATGATCATAATGCGTTACAGCTAAACACCAAATCTGATACGGTTCATACTTAGAAATTATCTATGTGTATTTATGAATTTGATATTTACCATCTTGCCATAAGAAAATGGACTTAGATTATGTCATGTCCATGGTGGTCACTTTCTATATGGACAATCAGTGGTATACTGGAGAATGATTTTTAATCAAATAATCTATAAATTTTCGGTTTCATTTTTAATCACAGATTTCAGGAAACTGTGCCAATTTACACTTGACAGACGGGTACACAAAGTATGTGATCTAGACTACCAGTTGTTGGACATTCTGTTTTGGAAGCCTCAGTGGTTGGGTGGGTTAGATTGCTGACTTTGTGTGCTGGCGATTAGGTGCCTCACTCTGGCAGTGTGGGTTCGAATCCCAGATGGGACTCAACTCAAAAAAGTACCGGTACTAGAATCTGATCCCATATATAACATTTGTACACAGGTTTCAGATTTATTGCCTTGCACTCCTTACCATGCGGACAATAACGAGTATTAGATCGGTCAATCCTGTCGAATAGAATTCAGAATATTCCAATATTTTTATACACAGCCTGATTGTCTGATATAAAGGAGCTCCCTGTTGGTGTGTGATAAGAGTTCCTGCTGTAAAGCTACAGTTTGTCAGGATGTTATCATACCTCTCTCACCTCTCATGCTTTTGGTGTGAGACTCATGCAGTTTCATTACAGATCATGCTCTCACAATCACTACTTGAAATCGCAAGCATTTGTTAAAATGTATATTTTTTTCTTCCTGGTAGGTCTACATCGCAAGAAAATACAATGGGAATCTCCCTGTCAGCCTTACTAACATTGAAAATGACATGAATTCTAATGGTTCAACTAAGCTTGTGTAAAAAAATAAGATGCAACAGCACATACAGCATCACTGGTCTATCAGCTTTTGTCGTTATTGTCTACATCATGCCGTTCGACAATTTATGATAAACTGAACCACAGGATTCCTAAATAACGGTGCTGCTAAAATGATTAAAACCGTCTTTCATGTAACTTTATTTAATCTCACATGTACCAAGACAGATTAACTTTAGTTATCATAAAGAATCATGTGTACTTTAACTTTTGAGTTGTATGTCAGACATTTTGTTTTTGGTTCATGGCTTTCATCGAGCTTTCATATTTTTGAGTGTATATCAACTTTCAAAGTGATGGATGTGTATATAGTTGTTTCTCCGGTTTCATGAGTATATTAGTTCACATGTTTTTAGTTTCTTGTCCCAAAAGTCATGAAATCCTGTTTGTACAAATATGTCCATGTATACCATATGTATATGACGTATTCCTACTGGTTGTGTGATATAGATTCAAGTAGACATTTGTATGTAATGTAAATAGCAAATGTTGACACATTTCTCTTCTTGGTCTTCCTCTGACAGATTCACATTGATTGGGATGTGTGATAATAGTTGATGAGAATAATGCACAAATTTTTGAAGTGCATATTAAAATCATTTTTATGAAATCAGTTTCATTTTAATGTAAGTTGCTCTATTGATCTCATACTGAATGATAGACTGTATGCTTGCTTACCTGTAAGGTATACCGAGATAGGACTTTTTAAGATGCATGGGTCAATTTATTTTTTGTGTGTGTTGTCTGATTAAATAGGGGATAGATTAACATAGAGTGTCTGGTAGGGCTGTTACAATTCACTCATGTATTCGGTGAAACAAACCGTATTCATTCAGGAATTGAATTCGTTATTCGTGGCCACTAGAATTGAATATTCATGAATATGCAAGCATGTGCATTTACATAAAAATACCCAAAAGAACATTCTTCAAAAGACAACACTCTTATACTATTTAGTTGAACAGTATTGTGGTCACTGGTCATTGTCGCATTTGAGCAGATACTAGTGCCTGGATAAGTGCAGTATATAAATGTATAATAAATTAATAATTAACAAACCATGTCAAATAATTTATGTTGGTATTGTTTCACTGAATATAACAAATAATAAATCAGCTGCTGACTTGTTATTGTATTCATGAATTAATAATCATATTCGTTACCTTAATATATTCGTATTTGGGGTTTTCCCAAAATTAGTGGACATTCTAAGATTTAAAAAAAAAATGAAATAATATTTTAGATGTATATAACTGTTTGAAATAAATAGGCTTGTCTCGAAAAGTAAATTAGCTCGTAATTGTGTTTCGGAAATTAGCTTTTTTGTACGCATGCTGGAAAGCATTGGGTATTTACGCGTGCTGTTTTGATACATTTGAGTTTTACTTTTAATGCATGCGTTTCTGTACGCAAGTTAATTGAAATTAATTGGGTTTTGAATATTATGGAGGGGGGGGGGGGGGGATTTTACGCAAATATGCTGCTTATCTGTAGCTCTGATTCGTGATACAAATTGTATTGGCCTCATAGTGTATTCGTTGCAGCCCTAGTGTCTAGGCAGAGTTGGAAAATAATCATGAAGGTTAGAGTGTCCTTGTCATTACCAAGTGTTAAAAGTTAAGAGTTTCGGGGTCCATAGGTTCAGATACTATAGCCGAAAACCTCAAGGACCCCAAGACCTGAATTTTGAACGCTTCATATTCTTGTTGATTTTTTTATTGTAGTGCCATAACAAGTTGTACATGTTTACTGAACAAAGACATTTTTCAGATGTGTGTGGGTTAAGTTACTGTTCGGTTGCATAGGGAGAACAGCTAAAGAAATTGGCACTAGTCCTGTAGTCCTTGCCAGACTGCCCAATAGTTAAGGTATCATAAGGACTAGTAGAAACTTTGTTATCATTATAAGGACTAGTAGACTAAAAATGTTAGTTTCTACGGCTGGAGAACATGTGGGACATGTCGGGACCGGTGTCACCATCACTTACCATGTTTTTAGGTATCAAGTATGTGTTTATAGGTCCCCAGCATCCTACTGCTTGTCACAAGAGGCGACTGGGACTTGATTGTGTGAGTGTCATTGTACCCAGGCGGCGTCGGATGTTGATACAATATCAAATACCGGCTTGTCTGGCGTCAAACAACAACCAAAGGAAGCCTGAAATTCTGAAAAAAAATCAAGGTGAAACATAAATATAATTATAAAGAACTCTTGATTTCATATGGAAAAAGGATTTTCATGAAAAGGTTGAAAAAAGACTTTATCTTAAATTTAACTAACTACCATGAACTGATACCTTTTAACATTTTAAAGGAATAAAAAACCAAAATAACTTAACCATCCATATTTGGTATTGTTTAGAAAATGGTCTTGATGATTCTCATTTGATAAGACAGTTAAGCAGTTGATACTAGTAATGCTGTTATTAAATGGTTCATAGTGGTAATGTTGGTTATCAGTTGTCAAAGACTTGATTTTGGTAATACTGGCCATTGCCCTGTCGCAAACAAGGATGGCTGGGTGGCCTAGTGGTTAAGGTGTTGGTTTGTTGAGCTGAAGAACCCGGGTTCATTTCCTCACATGGCTTCAAAATGTGAAGCCCAAATCGGGTGTCTCCCACCCCAGTTGGATTGTTGCTAACAGTGGCATAGAAGTGCACTCTCACTCACTCAGTGTAAACAGTCAAGGAGTATTGCAAGGGAAACCACCAGCCTTTTTGAGAAGCATACCTGTATATATAGCAATACAACCTCAAGTCTTTCAACAGTCACTCCACAGTATTGGTGTTGGACTTCATCTTGTACAGTGTCATGTTTAAGTTCATGGATCATGTGCGGTGTCGTTTCGCCATGAATATATTTAAGCATATGAGATAAGACAAAAAGTCATAGTCATACAAAAAGATATTGTCCAAATATGTCTTTTGTCTGTTTTAAGTGTGATTTAAAAGAGAAATATTTAACTTGTATCATTTTATTTATCTTTAATTTGGGATGTATATTATTTTTTCTGTGTTAGTATGGCGTGTTAATTGATTTCTTCTTTAGTATGGGGTTTTGTTTTATTTCTGTTTCATGTTTAGGGTGTTTGTTCCACAGTACATTTGACTTTATTTGTGTAGTATTTCTTGCTGCAGTGAAATTTCAGATTTTGACAAAAGCTTATTGTCTTGAATATGCTTATGAAAAATTGTTTCTTCCATGTTTGGGAGTTTAAATGTCAAGTCAGATAGCACAGAGGTAGTCATGCTGCAGTTTGAATTGGTGATTGATGTAGCCATGTGTTCAGCCCTGTGACTTGTCCGTTATTTGTTTTGGTGCAGCTACTGCTTGTCTTCTAGTCTGACCTGGGTCCCGTTCCTCAAAGCGATTGTCGCGCAAAGACGATTGTAACTCCCATACTTTAACATTGACTTAAACAGCAGTCTTAGCGCTAAGGGGTAAGCTAGTGGTTAAAGCGTTTGCTCGTCACGCTGAAGACCTGGGTTCAATTCCCCACATGGGCACAATGTGTGAAGCCAATTTCTGGTGTCCCCCGTAGTGATATTGCTGAAAAGCGGCGTAAAACCATACTCACTTACTCACTTAGCGCCAAGGTCATATTGTGGAACGGGGTCCTGGAGTCATCATCAGCATCTTCAGAAGCCATTGTTTCCATGGAAACTGTCATGATTAGAATATAGAGGCCGAAGTAGCCTTCATCCCTCATATCAGCTTCAGCTGTTTACTTTAGAACGAACATACCCCCATATACAAACTAAATAGTTTTGTAAATAAATGGCAAAATGACTTGTAATTAATGAGAATAACCTATTTTATACATCAAGTTTGTTAGTATGAAAATTGTTATTATTCACAGATTGTATTTTACTCTCATAAGTAAGAAAACTTTTGAAAATGAGTATAAGTAAAATGACTTCAGGAAAGTAACATTGTATTTTTCTGTGTACAGAAAATAGGAAGCTTCGTCAATATTCTGCGTGTGTTGGTTTGTGGTACGTGCGGTTGTATATTATAAATCTGTTCCCCAATGAGCATGAGGATCCTGCATATTCACATGGTTCCTACAGGAAAGTCTTGGAAAGTCCTTGAATTTGGCGCTCCAAACTTCACAAGCCCTTCAAATTCAATAAAATACCTTAAAAATATTCAACGCTTGGCAACCATGGTTAACTGATGTATGAATTTAAGAATGTCTTAAAAAAAACTGTTTGAGAACACTTTGTTCCAATCTCATTAAAATCAGATCTTAGTTCTCGAGGACATCCCATTAGGGGTCATGTCAGACCGACCATGCTTGAACTTTGACCAACCAATGGAATGACTGACAAGAAGTCGACATTAGCTAATCAGAAGGCAGCTCTCTCGTGCTTTACGGCACGAATTTCAAATTGGCGACTACACTTTGAAACATATTTTGACAAATTTTTAATTAAGAATTTGAAACCTGAACAAAAGAACATTCTTGAATGGCCAATATATGGTCTAAATTGTATGGATTCAGTCGTTAAACCCCTAACTATCGTTCGGAATACCCCATGTTAAAGTTTTCGAGGTTGCATGTTTAGAAATCACATTCAGACTGTCCCTTTCATGATCTAGTAAGCGATGCTCTGATTGGTCGGATGAACGATCGTTCTGACGTGACCCTTTAATGGATGTCCTCAGATCTTTGTTTAGCAGTAGCAAGAACTAAGATATGATGTTAATGAGATTGGGTCAAAGTTCGCTCAAGGTCAGTCTGACGAGACCCGTAATGGGATGTAAGATCAAAGTGCAATCTCATTAAAATCAGATCTTAGTTCTCGCTACCGCTAAACAAAGATCTGATTTTAATGAGATTGCACTTTGATCTTACTTTTACCTTTGAAATGTTTGATCATTGCTAGGAGAAAGGCCTGAAAGTTAGTGGCTTAAATTTGGTGGGATCCATGGTTCATATTGTCTGCCTCATTTAGACGGTGTCCCTTCATTTTGTACAGAGGCAGTCTGTGATATCAGGCAGGTAGCAGTATTGTAACGTATACAGCACTCTACATGTGATTGGGATACTTCATTTGACATGAAACACCAAACTCATAACTGTTAATATTTATTAGTACGAAATAGCTTAGCATCACTATCAAATGTTGAGTATATAGCTTCATATTGCATGATTCAAGTCCCAGGAAGTCACTATTTCAAATACTATTGAGAGCCTCTGGAAGGGGCTTTCATATTATGTGCATCAAATGTGACCAAAATGTTATGCTGTGTTGCCATGGTGATAGCTTAATGTAATAGTTACACTTGTCCTTAAACATGTGGAATTTCTTCAATTTCATCACTGTTCCAGAATCAGTGTCATCAAGAGTCCTATTTCATATTGTTATCTGATTGGCTGATTTACTGACATGATGAAAACTGTTGATTGGCCAGCTGTCAGCCTATGTAATGAGTATGATTTTCATTGGCCACAAACATGCATGCATTGAATGTTGTTATGCCTACTGAATAAGAACAAAATACTTAGTTGATCTATCTAACTGTCTGTTTAATAAAATGTAATATACTACTCAAGAAAAATTGAAGAACACCTGATTTTTTCTTATGAACTATAGTTAATCTATAGTTAATAAAATCGGGTGATCTTTAACTTTGTTTTGATAGGCATCTCCATGTTGAGTGGTGGTTACGATGTCACCAGTTTTAATTAGGCCGTTTTCCTCAGTTTATATGTTAAATGTCAGTACAGTATGATATGTTTGTTATCTGTTGAGAATGTATTTATTGCGTGAGATTTCATCAAAGGTTGTATTGCTTGTATACCTGTGAATGATTGATCTGTAAAAATTAAGATTCTATTAAGTGTATGAGGGTTTTGTATTTTACAGGGGATCTGTTCTTCCTTCAAACTCAGAATTCAGTTATAATGTTGTAAAAATATAATCAGTTTGAAGATTAAACCGAGAAGGTA